GCTCACGCGCGCGCGCGCTTCCCGCGCCTCGCGCGTACCTTCGCTTTCCCACGCCTCGCGCGCACCTGCGCGCTTTCTCGCGCTTCGCATCAGCCGACCAGTAGCGCCTTCGGCGCGCACTACTAGATCCTTGCTGCACTCGCTTCCCCTTTAGGGTCGAATGCACTTGTCGTCTCAGGTATAGCAGACTAGGCAACGCATGACCTTACAACATTTTCAGATACAGTCAGGAGCATCATTTGTTCCTCTCTGTATTGTTGTTTCTACAACGCACCAGTAAATCAGTGAGGACATAGGACGGACGGATGGACGGGTAGGCGCAAGAAGACCTAAGGGGAGGCGCACGGACGCGCACGGAAGCGCGCGAGTGCGTATGACTGATCCTTCGGATAAGAGCTGGAATATGTAAGGAATATGTGGTTCATAGGGCCGTATGTCCGGCATTGAGAGGCACGAGTCTCTACACCAGCTTCTTTGCACCTCTGCGCTGAAGCTTCAGACTTTCTCACAATGTTTTCTATATTCGATTTCACCCTTTTAAGCAGGTACGCGCCCTTCCCAGCGTCTTAATTCCTTCCTGGCTTGCCCTCTTGGCTTCTTCCTTTGGTCTCGCCCTTTTTGAGCAGGTGCGTGACCCTTCCCGGCTTCTTTGCACCTCTGAAGCTTCACACTTTCTCATGATGTTTCCTTGATGCCGAGTAAGTCCGTGATGCCGAACGAGGGATTGAGATTTGCCACTTACTATTACTTGAAATTTTACTAAGTCCTGTCTGTAGTAGTATGTACAAATGTGTATACAGAGCTGTGCGAATCAAAATTTTGCCAAGTCCCACTAGTATATCCAGTGCTGCACATATGACTTACAATGAAATAGCGCTGTGTGCACGAAATTTTCACTAAGTCTAACATATCCAGAGAATTGCAGCAAGAAGTCAATGTGCATTAATGAGTCAATGGTGCCCTAAGGGTTATCACAATACATGCAGTATGGTATGGAGTGATATAATGAACGCATTACTACAATATCTTGATGGGTAGGCAACTCAGGTGCCGGATTTGCATTTCCTGTTCATAAAATTAGCGCCATCCAACAACCACAGGAAGAGCACATACTTCTTTTGAATAGTGTTCTCAGCATCGCCTGTTCACAGTCTCTTCGCGCTCTCACCTATCATGTTTGCTTGTGCCATGCGTGTGGACTCGTGGCGAACCCTACCTGTCTTTCGAAGAGGAATATTGACTGAGGAGTTAGTAGAAGGTTGAATGGGTGCTGTTCGCGGACGCCTCTGCTTGATACATCTCTCACCACCCTCACTATCCCTCACAACACCCTGGTCTATGGCCACATGCTCGTCTTCTTCGGCTTGTACTTCAACTTGTACAGTAGGTGCGTTCGTGGTAGTTGTTTCCATGGCGGCGAGTTCTATAGCATTCCCCTGGACCATAGCAGCAGGGTGAACATGAGAGGTAGCTGCTGCGGTAGGTGCATCCATAGTAATGAGGTCAACATCGGTGACAGCTGTGAGTGCCGTGAGTTGGCCTGCAGCGGCGGCGGGACGAATGACAGAGTCATCAGAGAGAAGGTCAGTTGCTATGGGGTGAGGAACTGGGATTTCCGGTGGATTGATGCTGGATGTGATACCAGGGGTGGGGAAAGAACAGCCATTGAAGTTGAACGTTGGCAGTATGGTCAAAGGTGCGGTAGGAGATGTTGTCAGGGTCGAAGTCCTCGTTGGATTCCAAAGCTCGGACTCCTTCCTCCACGATGTGATGAGAGTATCAGGCAGTAAGGTGGTAGGTAGCAATGATGTTGATGGAAATGCGGGGAGTGTGGGTGTTTGAGGCCGAGGTCCTGGTGGTGAGGGTTGTTGGCTGAGAAGGCTGGCATCAAAAACCCAAGAGTACGGGTCGTCAAATCCCTGCAAGCTGAGACGTGAGGGCCCTGGCAAGTCGAAGGGCAACAGGTCCTCAGGCACTCCAGGTGATGAGAGAGCTACCTGCAATGAGGTACTCGCATCCAACATCGGTGGAGCCATGGTCTCTTCTTGTTCCGCAGGGGGCACATAGTCTAATGCGCGCTTCTTCCTGTCATCCTCAGCTGTACACTACATTAGCAGATGACTCTTTACATAAACGAATCAAATACATACTGAAAACTGTCCCAAGATAACTCAAGTATGGGTTGAGATGTTTGTCCGTAAAATTTGAAGTCGCCTGCTTCCACGTAAGGCCGGATTGATTCACACCCGTGTGGTAGCTAAAAATGATCAGTGTTAGGAATAATAAATGTACATATCAAATTATACATACCTCGATACATTAAGCATGCTGCCAAGGCGAGGATCAGGGCCTCCACCAATAACTGTCCACTCCCAACCTGTTAGCTGTCTTACTGCATCAAAAAATTGCGATATTGGGCCGATACAGTCTTCTAGTGCCCTGATATAGTGTACACTGTAAGTTGAGACATGGAGACACACAATTTTTGCTTACTTTGCATACTGCGCATTGGTAGTAGGTGAAGTTCTGGTTGCAGTAGCTTCGGAAACCATGGCAGAAGCCTTAGCTTCACGTTCTTCGGCAGCCTTTGCCCTGCACAATGACTGAATTTCTGGCGGTGCAGCCTCGTATGCCACTGAAGGTACAACAATTCAGAGAGTGAGTCTGAACAATGTTGGGTCTTGCAGAACCTAGCTGCTATTTGACCCTAAAGGGTTTCTGGACCAGGCTCAAGGCTCAGAGGAGAGGAAATATCATGAAAAACTGCTGAAGACTCAGACTCATACTGATAACTGGTGAAAAGATAACTTGCTTATGTAAGCTACAAAGGTGCCAACATAAGGTAAGGTAAAAACAGTCTCTACAAGCCCAGCCAGAAATGAATCCCTACACCACCTTCGTCGACTCCCTGATTGCCATCAATTTCTTGTTCTTAGTCATGAGCAACCCAGACTCGATTTTCTCCTTAATCTGCGACCGTACAGTAGTGTCGTAATTCATCTTCGAAAATATTTCCACCTCGGTGTGAACCCGAGTTCCTTTGGCCTTGTTGCCAATCATCTTGGTAATCAATTTCATCAGTGAGTTGAGTTGCGACCGACCACCCTTGCGAGATCTATAATTGAACCAGTTCTTGAGTTGCTGTTTTTGAAATAAGCATTTTTTCAATTAAAAATCAAATTCATCATTGTGAAATCTATTAACCTTCTTACGCGCATCGACTGCCTTTGCCAGTTCCACGTTCTCGACCTCACTGAGCTGTGCCAGCGTCTTGTCTGGGTATAGCACATCAATTTTGGGCCATCGATTTAAGAATTCTACGCTAACGGTGGGCCAGAAGTTCAACAAAGTACCCTGAAGTTGCTGTTTCAGGAACTCGCTGAATTGAGACTCTAAGTAATCCTGTTGTTCGGCGCTGGTCCATTGGGTTCCAACCATCTGTCATAATGGTAGCGTGATCAATGACAGCATATTGCTAGGCGTGTGTCATCGCTTACTTCGTCTTTTTTGGTCTGGGTCCGGTTAATCGGCTGGAAGGCTTTAAAGTGCCGTAATTGATCACAGCATATCAGTAGGATTTTAAACGTTGCTTACTTTTTTTTGCTTTCGGTTGGCAGATTTTTGGGCAGTTGTAGGTGCGTCTGACCAAACTAAACATACAGTCGAGCCTTCATTAAGGTTCAGCCATCGACAAGGGACCAATCATGTTCCTCTATTCCTATAGTACATTGGATCGGAGTTAAATTTCGCACTATATATATAATCTATGACAAAGTCCAAAATGAAAAGCTACCGCCCTCACCCCCATTTAGTAGCTATACGACATCGATCGTTGGTTCATTTTCAAATGAGTGATTCCAATAATAACACTTGTACAGTCTGCGTCCAGCAGTGTGCTCCATCCTCAGTGGAGCCACTAACTTTCACCATCAATGAGCTCGCTGCCGCTCTGCAACTCATCAGGGACCAGGATAGTGGGTAAACTCTAATTCTGTTCCTTGACACTCACTGTTTGATTATTCATACAGAAATCTTTCAAGCACACGACAATTCCACTGTGGAACCACCCTCTCCTCTTACTGCCAATGATTGCCCTGCTTGTGTTTTGCATGCACACTGCCGCCAGTGTTATGTTTGCAATGCTCAAATTCTTGACGAACCTCCTGAATATAAGTCTGAGCCTGGTACCGCTGGTGAGTTCTTTGCTCTTCCCTAAGCTCTGATTCTATTTTTTTTTTGATTTTTAGCACATAAACCCGCCATGCAAAACAATGGCTCATCTCCTAGCAGTGCTATTATAGTAGATTGAGCGGAGGATGGGATCATCTGGCCCGGATTTATTGTGTAGTGGCATCTGTACATATTGTCACGGTAGATCGAATATGTTCGGGCTGTTTTGAATTTGATCGTGTCACTCTCCAAACTCAAATATGTTCTGACATTCTGAAGTTCACATGGCGCATTCTCCTTCAAATTGAATGCTTGCAACGCGGACCTTTGACTTTGAGTATACTGACTCGATGTTTTCTTTAACTGTCCCGAAGTGTCCGTGCTCGCGGAATTCAAATAGTTGTGAGCACAAATTAAAATCAGTTGTTTGATCATATCTGTATGTGCTTGCAACGCGGAATATTGACTGACTCGATGTTTTCTTTAACTGTCCCGAAGTGTCCGTGCGTGCGGAATTCAAAGCACGTACTATTATATTCAAGTAAGTCACATGTGCAATATGATACACTTCGAAGTTCCTAACGATTTTTCGCTACTTTCCAACGGCACTTACTCTCTATCCACACATTGCACTCATCACTACTTTCTTACTCTCTATCCACGCATTGCACTCATCGCTACTTTCCAACAGCACTTACTCTCCATCCACACATTGTATATTCAAGTAAGTCACATGCGCAATCTGATACACTTCGAAGTTCCTAATGATTCATCGCTACTTTCCAATGGCACTTACTCTCTATCCACACCAATCCACTGCATAGCTTCACATGCCGTCTAAGTACAAAAGTGAACAACAGCGCCTTGAGGCTCGACGACAATCAAAGCAAAGGTACTATGAAAGGTATGTTTTCCTTATCATCAGTCAATATGGATTGTGTCTCATGTCTTTATAGGCACAAGCTAGACGAACACTTGAAATCTTGTGGCCGCTGGTGTAAAGGTCTTGGAGCCACAAAGGTATGCATATATTCTATACCTCACAAACGGCACAGCTAACAAGCAACTCAGGCTACTCAACAACTTTTATTAAATTTAGACTGCCTATGGCTCAACCTAGGGTATTGGCCAGGTCCTTCCCAATATGCAGTCCTTGAGTTCGTTCGTGAAGCTGATAATGAAGGATGGCATGCTGTGAGACCGCGTTGTGAAGGAATGTTGGTAGAGGCACAGGAGCTTCTTTCCGAAGCTCGCGAGCTGCTCGCAAGTTCGCTGCAGGTGGATGGTGCATGTACAGAGTATCTTCTTACATCTTCTGCAGCTGCTGTTGATGCTGTGGAATTGCACTGTGATGCATTGGAAGAAGGACTGACATTGATGGATGACAGTATAGACAAATACTTCGAGTGTCTCCAGCATGACCGACTTGTGTGGCAGAAGCAAGGCGGAAGGCATTAAAGTGAATCACATTTTCTTTAGATAATATTCTATCCATATTTTGAATTTTGGATTTTTATATTTAGCCATCTACGCTCCATGTCGCCATCAATCACGTGAGTAGTATGATGCCCTTGAAGCTTGAAACTCACAACTACAAACTGCCATCATGGGTGGTGGCAAACGTCGACGTGAAATGGATAAACTAAAGAGAGACTTCAATAGCAATATCCACGCTCAGCAAGCAGAAGCACAGCGAGCACATCAGAAAGCACGCTGTCAAGCTTCGTCCTCATCTCATGTGGCCAACGACCACGAACTTTATCATAAGCACTCTTGCTTCTCTCGAACCGCTTCAGGCAGGATCTCCACTGAAACAGAATTTTTCCATGTATCTGAAAGTACTGTCGCGCACACCTCACATGCACTTCCATTGGCCTCCGAGACGCTCATGGGGGAATTCAACTTCGATTTTGACTCATGTACACCTGACGGCGACTTCAATGATCCTGCATATGAGAACCACTTGGCTGAAACTACTCTGGTGCCTAAGAAGTGTGTAAGGCCAATAGGTGTACAGTAATTTCTAATTGTACAATGTTCTTGTTTAATTCGAATTGGACAGGATCGTGCCATGGCTCAGTGGGTAAAGGAGCAAGAGAAATATCTTATGGAGGTTATTAGACTCGAAGGCCGCGGTGATTATACTTCCCATGAGGCTTGTCATGGACATTGTGAATGTACCTTTGAGCCAGAGGATCATTGCAAGGACTGTTTTGGTACTGAACTGTACTGTAAGGATTGCACGGTGGAGAGGCATCACGATAATCTGCTGCACAGGATTGAGGTACGTAGCCTAAATCGTCTATCTTTTAAGTGCGCTAACTGTTGTTTTAGTGCTGGAATGGCGATTACTTCGAGGACACTACTCTCAAACATCTTGGACTCTGAATTCAGCTTGGCCATGCAGTTGGTGAACGGTGCTTCAATCAATCCAGGGCATTCGACGACGACTTTGTGATTCTGGACATTGATCGTGTTCATGAGGTCGCATTGGATTTTTGCGGGTGCTCATATGCACAAAGTCACACAACTCAAATTCTTCGAGCCCGCTTGTACCCTGCAACATGCTCTGAACCCAAATCAGCTGCCACATTTCGACTTCTCCAACACTTTCAGATATTGACCTTCGAGTCAAAAGCATCCGCATTCGAATATTGGCAAACACTCGTTCGTCTTACTGATAACACAGGAATCAAGCCCTGCAAAGTAAGCATGTCGTGTGTCTATGGCAATTGGACTTGCTAACGTTGAATCAATAGGATTGCTATGAAAGCTTGTTGCGCATGATCAAACAATGGCGGAACATCACACTTCTAAAATGTTTTGGCCGAGGTCATGATCCTGCCGGTGTTGATACCACTGAACCTGGAGCGTGCACAGTACTTTGTCCCGCCTGCCCTCACCCTGGCAAGAACTTACCCAAAGACTGGAAAATGGTGTCCCCTGACAAGCAATGGCTATATGCACAATATTTTGCCATCGACGCAAACTTTCGGTTGGTACGGAAAAATGTGTCCTCCGATAGTGTCGACCCTGGTTTGAGTAAAGGGTGGGCTTATTTTGTCGAGGAGACCAGCTTCAAACTATTCCTGAAGGATGTCGGAAAGGTCTCACAAAAGGTATGCGAGCATTTTTGTTTTATATCGTTATCACTGACAGAACAATTTAGAAAAGCACTTGCATCAGTCACAACGCCGTGAACCTCGCTGAAACAAAGAGCTCACAAGGGCTGGCTGCGACAGGAGCAGGGACTGTGGACTGCTCTCGTCACAACTTCAAGCGGCCATGTGGAGTGGGAGATCTTCAATGAGGTGAAAAGTACATATTTGATTATATAATCTTTCTGCATAACTTAAAACTTCGAATCAGATATATGAATATGGACTATCTCTTTTTCTTGACCGTGCAGCACTCCGGCGAAGTCATTGTACTTAACGTATCTTACGACATTGCCTGTCAGTGGAGCAAAAATCTTTGGGACCGCATGTCAAAATACCCGTCGCATCTACACTTCGAGTGTGACGGAAAGACGACGACTTTCCTTGTTCCCAAATTTCACTTGCCGGCCCATATCAGCACCTGTCAGATATCATTTTCGCACAACCTTATCAAGGGTATGGGACGCACAGATGGCGAGGCTCCAGAATGAGGATGGGCCAACATTAATCCTGTCGCTATGAGCACGCTGTAGAAACAACAATACTGTGAGGAACAAATGAATGCTCCAGACTGTATCTGTAAATGTTGTGAGGTCGCGCGTTGCCTAGTCTGCTATACTTGAGACGACAAGTGCGTTCGACCCTAAAGGGGAAGCGAGTGCAGCAAGGATCTGGTAGTAGGCACTGAAGGCGCTACTGGTTGGCCAATGCGAAGCGCGGGAAAGCGCGCAGGTGCGTGCGAGGCGCGGGAAAGCGAAGGTACGTGCGCGTGAGCGGAAACAAGTGAGAGTAAGTGTGAGTTTGCTTAAGTGGTGATATGATGCAAGACAAGAGATGCGAGTGCGAGGTACCAAGGAATTGATTGCAACTATACTCTGCTAGGTAGTAAGTGGGTGAATGGGAGGTAGAGTCTAAGTTCCAAAGTTTTCAATAGTATGTAATGCTGGCGCTTATATACGGCGCCTAAGCGCTGTCACGCGGAGCCGAAGCGCTACCGAGTAAGGTATGTAAAGCTATATGTAAGTAAGGGTCCATGATATAAATAAAGGTGGGATGATATGTAAATAAGGGAAATGGAAATACACGCACTAGAGAGCTTGGTGGACAGTGGATGGATGCTTCCGGAAGGCTGGCGCTATAGGGCGATCAAGCGCGGGAAAGCGCGCGCGCGTATACATTGTAAAGCGCGGGAAAGGTGCGCGCATGCTGCGCCTTGCGCGGGAAAGCTGCAGATAGCACACAGAGTGATGCTGCAAGTTCGTGCAATGAACTCTCTAGTGAAAAGTGCCATATCACACCATGAGAGGCATGAGTCTCTACAACGCGGGAGATGGGTCCTGGTGCACGCAGAGATACCCTTGACGACCATTTTGGTTACTATAATTGGAAAAAGGTGACTAACTCCGGTATGTATTCATTGTCTCAGCGCAGCAGACCATGAAAATAATGGCCTACAGGTATCAGCTTATTGAGTAAGATAAAGACCGCAATCCCCGAGCGTGAACAACACCAACACGACTTTGACGAGTTCAACCATGTGCTAAGCGAAGAACGACCGAGTGAAGTAGTTCAGTGGCAAGAAGTTGTTGAAAACTGGGAGTCTGACCATTCGAGCAAAAATCTGTTTGAGATAACGACTGTCTGTAAGTGACTCGCTCTGTACGCTAGGGTTGAAGACTGACCACATATAGCTATGACGCTGGCTGCCGTGCATCTCAAACTATCTCAACAGGAAGCAGATGACCTCGAAAATGGATTCAACAATTCATTGCATGCGGATATCTCACCCAGTGTACTGATATCATCTGGAATCGACCTCGAAGAACAACAGTAAATATTTGAAATTCATTTTTTTTAATGGCTTCTAATGGATGATCTATAGATACCGCTGTAGAAACAACAATACAGAGAGGAACAAAACAATGCTCCAGACTGTATCTGTAAATGTTGTAAGGTCGCGTGTTGCCTAGTCTGCTATACTTGAGACGACAAGTGCGTTCGACCCTAAAGGGGAAGCAAGTGCAGCAAGGATCTAGTAGTGCGTGCTGAAGGCGCTACTGGTCGGCTGATGCAAAGCGCGATAAAGCGCGCAGGTGCGCGCGAGGCGTGGGAAAGCGAAGGTACGCGCGTGAGCGGAAACAAGTGAGAGTAAGTGTGAGTTTGCTTAAGTGGTGATATGATGCAAGACAAGAGATGCGAGTGCGAGGTACCAAGGAATTGATTGCAACTATACTCTGCTAGGTAGTAAGTGGGTGAATGGGAGGTAGAGTCTAAGTTCCAAAGTTTTCAATAGTATGTAATGCTGGCGCTTATATACGGCGCCTAAGCGCTGTCACGCGGAGCCGAAGCGCTACCGAGTAAGGTATGTAAAGCTATATGTAAGTAAGGGTCCAAAATAAAGGTGGAACGATACACAGATAAGAGAAATGGAAACATACGCACTAGAGAACTTGGTGGACAGTGGATGGATGCTTCCAAATGGCTGGCGCTATAGGGCGCTCAAGCGCGGGAAAGCGCGCGTGTATATACATCGCGAAGCGCGGGAATGGTGCGCGCATGGCGCGCGTTGCGCGGGAAAGCTGTGCCTCATATAGGGATAGCTGCAGATAGCACACAGAATGGTGCTGCAAGTTCGTGCAATGAACTCCCTAGTGAAAAGTGCCATATCACACCATGAGAGGCATGAGTCTCTACACCGCCTACAACAAGATCTGGCCACTCTCAGTACCCATCCGATGGATCTGCAATTGACGAAGCTGCAGGAACGCTCAAATGCACTCCTGCGGAAGGTAGAGCAGTGGTGCAACATTCAGTTGCTCTACATGCCTGCAGTCGGCCGTCTTCGTGCAGTTGAAACTGCAAATGCACAGTCCGTCCGTGAGGAGAAGGCACATGAAGTCACACTTTGGCTTCCATCGAAAGTCAAGGACACTGCTGAGTCATGCGAGGAGCCGCTTTGCGCTTATGAGTGGGAGCTATGGCGTGCACAGGCACATGAAGCTCTGGATGACCTTCGCCGACAACTTCGGCTTCACACTCACCTCTACAAATTCAAGGACGCGCACATCCGTGGCCAACGGGCTAATACCAGAGCATCCACGGTGCTTAACCGAGTGGAGCAGACCATGAAAACTGCGGTTGCACGGTATCACAGAGCCTGGTCAGCCATCAAGACACTATCCGTGGTCCTGAGCAAGCCAAATTGGGAAGTAGAGTTGCCGGAGTTACGACTGGCTGATATTCGGGGGATGGCAGAGGGAGAAACGGGGCAATCCGAAGGCACGTGTACCTTATCCTGGATCTGGAAGGCCCGTGGTGTGGCTGGAGTTGGTGAAGACGGCGGAGCTGTCTTATCTGAAGGTATGTGTCCTCGTCCGTGACAGGCATGAAACATTGACCTGATCCCTCAAATAGGATTGCGCATCGAGTGGTGCAAGTCTCAGGTGCAAGCTAACCGATGGACCGAAGAAGTAGAGCTCCTGCAAGAGGAGATGCGCCGTGTAGCTGACTTTCTTTCCTGGCATGCAGGGTGGTGGGAGGAGCAAGCGAATTGGAGGAATGTCCTAGCCGCACCCGAACAGGAGGGTATCAAGGGATACGCGAAACGCCAGGCTGCTCTTCAGAGGGCTATGTGTGACAGGTTCCAGGAGATGTGGAGTATTGTTCCAGCTCTTCTCCAGTCCCCGTCACCTGCTATGGAATCCCCCACGTCGTAGGGAGCTTTTGTATATTTTTTGTTTGTATTGCATGTTAATTAAATATTGCCATATTCATCTTACTTGTTCCTGGTACTGTGAACGGCGGAGAGGTACCGAGCATCAACGATGGAGAGGCGCATCAACGACGGAGAAGCACCAACAATGGCATATTGTTTGTTCCTGGTACCATGAATGGCGGAGAGGTACCAACAACGACGAAGAAGCACCAACGATGGAATCGGGTGCAGATCATGGGTAGCTCGCGAGAATGGCCGAGGTAGGGCGGTCCTCAGGCTTGATGCTTCACAGTCACTCTTGTTTGATGCTTCACGGTCAAAGGTTTAGAGCATTTTGTGCATCAAGGTCTGTCTCTAATCTGATACTTTCAAGCTTCAACACTACAGGTACAGGTGGTCGAACGCACTTGTCATCTCAAGTATAGCAGACTAGGCAATGTGCGACCTCACAACATTTATAGATACAGTCAGGAGCATCATTTGTTCCTCTCAGTATTGTTGTTTCTACACCGTGAACTACTCTACCTTCAACTCCTCCTCGAGGAGCTCTACGATGTGCCCGATGAAGGTACAACAATTCAGATGGTGAGTCTGAACAATGTTGGGTCTTGCAGAACCTAGCTGCTATTTGACCCTAAAGGGTTTCTGGACCAGGCTCAAGGCTCAGAGGAGAAGAAATATCATGAAAACTTGCTGAGTACTCTGACTCATACTGGTAACTGGTGAAAAGATAACTTGCTTATGTAAGCTACAAAAGTGCCAACATAAGGTAAGGTAAAAACAGTCTCTACAAGCCCAGCCAGAAATGAATCCCTACACCGAACTCCCCATGCCTATACACTGCAACAATCAAGCAGCCATAGCTCTCACCAACAACAACAAATTCCACTCCTGAACCAAGCACATCGACCTTTGTTACCATTTCGTCAGGACGCACGTCAAAAATGGAGTGTTTGAGCTTATTAATTGTCCTACACACAACAACGTCGCCAACGCCTTCATGAAGGCCTTTTTTTTTTAAAAAAAAAATCCAATTTCTGTCCTTTGCAGATGTAATCTATGTAGGACATTACTATCTAGTCTATGGGACCCCCAGTGTCCCTTTCGCATCTGCAGGTGCACGGATGCCCTGATATGAGGTGTGCCCCCATCAGTCCACCATTCCCGCCAGCCGTTTTAGCTGCGCCACCTTGTTGATGAGACGACTTTTGAAGGTGTTTACATCATTTGTTTAACTATTGTATGTGACGTCTGGACACGTACTCAGTTGCCGGAGGCACGGGTACAGGAATCGGGAGGGGTGCAAACATGTGGATTGTGGCGGCCGATGTGTTCTTCGGCTATCAATGGACGTGTTTGGCTGATGCCGCTTCTTTTGCTGGTGATTCCGTGTATGTGAGTGGGGTTGTTTTATGGTACAGGGTGTTGATACAGGGTTTTGTACAGGATGGTGACAATGGGTGTTGGTACATGCTGTGGGGTATGGACATGAGGGTGTGCTGAACTCTGAGCGCTATGCTGACGATCTGTGTTTCTGCTAGGGGACTATCTGTCACGAAGGCCTTGCCTAGCCCATGCCTGCAGAAGCTATGTGGCCTCATGAGCCTCGATCACGTTCGAGGGGGAGTGTTGAAGTCCAAAGCTGAGCCAGAAGAGACGTGGAAGTGAGTGACATCAGACCAGGTACGAACACATTGAGCGTCGTCATTTCAGACTTATATGTTTTCTCTCCAACTTTTACCATATGATAACAGGCAATACTGTCATTTTAATGCATCAAAACAGGCTAAGTAGCCTAGTTTTGTGATGCATCAAGCTTGCTCATTGCGTTGTAGGGATTCATTTCTGGCTGGGCTTGTAGAGACTGTTTTTACCTTACCTTATGTTGGCACTTTTGTAGCTTACATAAGCAAGTTATCTTTTCACCAGTTATCAGTATGAGTCTGAGTCTTCAGCAGTTTTTCATGATATTTCCTCTCCTCTGAGCCTTGAGCCTGGTCCAGAAACCCTTTAGGGTCAAATAGCAGCTAGGTTCTGCAAGACCCAACATTGTTCAGACTCACTCTCTGAATTGTAGTACCTTCAACTGGAGCCCACTGCGAGGGTTTCTTGTGTTTCTAGGCTCTCTAAGCTCACCAATCATCCCCCAAATTCGCCTATTATCCAACCACAGTCATTCATTACCAGCTTCTCCCACAATTCCCACTTTTCAGCATCTTGTCCTCCTCACCAGCGCACTGATAGGTGTTTTTCCCACGCGGTGTTCGAGCGGATCTCTCGCAAACTTAGGGTCGTATTCCCCACGTCCGTCCGATCATTTTGAGCCCTGGTTCATCGAATTTGGAGCAGTAGTTGTGGAGTTATTGAGTTTTTGGTGTTTTTGAGAAGTTGAGGGGAGATAAGGGTTTTCTGGGTGCTCAAAGGCCTGTCTCATCTAGCTCTTTTGGCCATTTACCATCCCTCAGTGGCTCTGTCCATTGCCCCAATCCGCTTTTTGATAGGACCAGCCCTTGTTGCCCTGCATCATACCCCTTCCTCCTCCTCCCTCTTGCACCTCCGCACTTTTTCGCACTTTCACCAGCCCATTTTGCATCGGAACCCCATAGACCCTATACCCGTTTTGAAGCCCTCGTTCATGGCTTTCATTCGCGCATATCCGCGCCTTCGCGCGCTCAGCTGTTCGCTAGCTATCCGCATTTTCGCGTTCCCTCCATTTGTTTCGCCCCATTTTTTGCGTTTTCTTTATATCTCGTCGCCCTGTGATCGCGCGCCCATCGCCTTAGGCGCGTTCTGACCGCATTTTTCCGCGCTTTCCATCCGTCCGATCCGATTTCCGATACGCCCACCCGCGCCCTCGCTACTCGCCGTTTTCGCTATTTTCGCATGTTTTCACCATTTCCTTCATATCTCCCTCAGTTCTTCACCAAACCTAGTCGACCCTATACTCATTTCGAAGCCCCCGTTCGGCTCTTTCGATCCGTCTACTTCCCATCGTCATCCGCGCAACCACCACTTCGCATTTTATCGTTTTTTATCGTTTTACCAGTCCCCCAGTACTGATGCGGTTCGCCTGGCACAAGAGATGTCAGGGAAAACAGGTGCTGGGGTCATCGTTTTATTGGATTGCCCTGACCCTCACTCACTGGCGCAGTTTACCTGGCATACGCGTCATGGAAACAAAAGGTGTTTGAGGACCCCCAGGTTAGTAGTTTTCTTAGTTTAGCTTAGCTTTGGTTTGCATAGGTAGATGACTGGGGACTAGTGTTGCCGCGAAGCGAACTGAAGCGAATTGAAGTGGAAATTTGACACACTTCGGTAGACTTCGTTGTCAACGAAGTTATTCGAAGTGCACTTCGAAGTACTTCGCGAAGTCAAGCAGAATAGATTACTAATCATATGTAGCTACCTACAGCATAATCTAAGACAGAGATTGGTTTTCGTTTTCGTTCACGAGCAGCTGCGCAAGTTCATCGAGCTTGCCTGCTGCCATGAGCTCATCTATGGCATTCCTAGATACTGGCCCTGAAATATTATAATCTACTTCTTCTGCAACGAGGTGGGATGTGAAATTCAACCGGTCTTGCTTGTAAGAGAACTTGAGTATTTGTAGAGCTTCGAGAACTGCTGGTGAGAGGTTGGCACGCCGATCTGTGCATGTCTCTTTGCTAGATGAGAAGACTCGTTCGGAAGGGACAGATGAAGCCTGCGCGGGAAGACCATCCATTGCGACACGGAAAAGCAGCGGGAATATATGTTCTTTTTGCTACAAAATATATTATATTCATTCAATGGATAGTTGAAAAAATAAAATCGTGCACGCACCTCCCAAAAACGAACAATGTCAGCTGTGCGTTCAGCCGTGGCATCAAGAAGCGCTGCTTCTTCATAGCGCTGCATTTCTCGCTCAGCATCTTTCCTGTCTTCCTCTAAATCTCGTTGTGCTTGCTCTTCCAGCGTAAGTGTCGGAGTTGACTGGCCAAATGTCAAGGAACGATTTGGTGCGGCAGTTAAGGTTGTGGTTGACAATGAAGTTGTTGAACGTCGAACACTCGTGTTGATTTTCGTCAAGCGCCCAAATCCTGCCATCAATGATCGCGCAGCCACAGACGTAGAACTGTCAGCGGAGTAAGGGAGCTGTAATGCTGATATGCACGGTGTAGGTACTCTTTCCCGTTCCAAGCGCATTGCTGTACGGTATGATGTCATCTGTAAATCAGACATCAGTGCTACCATTGCAAAAGACAATGAAAATTGAACATACCGCTTCTAATGTCCATTCCCGTGCCTTTCTCACATCATTCTCGTCCCAGTGAACCTTCATCCATTCAAGTTTCAAGCTCGGATTGATAGCTATCTAAAGTTCAGTAAAATTCCAGACACGAAAAGAATCTTGAGCGGACTCATTGCTAGTGCATAGATTCGTGTTTTCCTGGCTTGATGAATGTAATTAGTTAGCTTGTCAAGGCCGATTCCGATATAATGGGCAAGTTCCCAAATGGTTCCCTTCAGCTCGGTCCATTTTGTCTGCAGGAGTTCATATGCAGGAAGGGCCATTGACAGGGTCGGAGTACGCTCACTTGCAAGTAGCTCTTGAGCTGCGTGAGGGACTTCAATAATCTGGTGAATGTCCAACAGGAGCAGTCGAGTCTTGCAGGACACCTGCATCTTGCTGCATTAGGATTGGTGGTGTCGAAGCAGGTTGTGCAGGGCCCCACATCTGCTGCAACAGCTCAACGTGTTGCATGGGCATCATATACTGGGCATAGTGATTACCAGGAGGTACATGCAGGGGCGGAGAGAGGTTTCGCAAAGTCTCGAAAGAACCATGTGGTGTTGTTAATGGCGAAACTGATGGACCATGACTGTTTGTAGGCTGTGCGGCTGAGTGCGAAGGAAACTGTGACCGACTACTAGGAAGAAAACCTGCTGTTGAATGGTACATGGGAGTAGAGAATTTTTTGTTTCGAGACACGGACAGTGAGAGCCTACTTTTAGTCTTTAGGGCATAAATTTTGATTCCGTTGTGGAGCCGACTTGGCGAATGTTCGAGATCATGCACGAAAAGCTTATATTGAATGTACATAGTATGTACAGTGATGTCTTATGATTGAAATATGATAGAGACAGGGGGCACATAGAGGTCTTCAGACGTGCAGTGATGATGATTAATCTATGTGATAACTTCGATTCACCTCTCGAAGTGGACGAAGTGGCACTTCAACTGACTTCGGAACAACGAAGTCAACCAAATTCTCACGTTTTCGAAGTGAAGTGAAGTTACCTCGAAGTCACTTCGCTTCGGCGGCAACACTACTGGGGACAGTCATGATTCAAAGTTCCCATGAGATGTAGGGATTCATTTCTGGCTGGGCTTGTAGAGACTGTTTTTACCTTACCTTATGTTGGCACTTTTGTAGCTTACATAAGCAAGTTATCTTTTCACCAGTTATCAGTATGAGTCTGAGTCTTCAGCAGTTTTTCATGATATTTCCTCTCCTCTGAGCCTTGAGCCTGGTCCAGAAACCCTTTAGGGTCAAATAGCAGCTAGGTTCTGCAAGACCCAACATTGTTCAGACTCACTCTCTGAATAGTTGTACCTTCAGCGTGATGCATCATTAATGCATCAGGGATCTGACAGTTATGCATCATCCATCCGGTACATATTTGGGCTGCGCCGTCCATATTTAGCACTCGTCCATCCATATTCAGCGCGCTGTACCTATATATACCTTGCTCCCCGGCAATATTTTGCTTCTGGTAGTACCCTGTAGTACCTTGCTCCCGGTAGTACCTTGTTCCTGGTGGTACCTTGCTTACCTACTCAAATCTTCGGTGTCCGGTTACTCAGTATTCAGTTTGGTAGGCCTCTTGCCGTTCCTACTCGAATCCTTTGGCGTCCAGCCACTCAGCATCCATTTTAGTAGGTCTCTTGCTGTCCTAGTTGTCCTTTCATATTAGTAATAGGGCAGGTCCCATCAATGATGCAATTTTTGAGCTGTGAATTTGCTAAGTCCCCAACTCCGTCATTCCACCAAGGTTTTCCGTTTGAATTCACTAAGTCCTCAACTCTGCCATTCTGCCAAGGTTTTTTGTCTCGTACGTCACACAGTACATCACAATTAAGTTGCTATACCATACATATTTTTAACAATGAAGTTATATTGCAGAGTGCAGCACAATATTTAGTACAGTGTGCAATGAATGGAACATTGTTACAGAAGCAGAGACGAGGCACATGCACCGCTGGAGGGTCTAGGACCCAGGACGAGACGGCAGGAAGAAGAATCAAACAGTCTGTGTTACTCAATGTTTGATGTTCGAGTTATGGTCCTACCATGGTAGGACCATAACTCGAACATCAAACAACTACTAGTAATAGACTATGTACTGGTAATTCTTGTGGCCTTGTGCTTATGTATAGGCGAAATGGGATTATTATCAATGACTTTTGGTCTGAGTTAGATTTTAGAGTAATGCTAACGAGCCGGTACATGTTTTCAGTCCTATCAACTGATAGAGTCCAATTTAGACGAACCGGTCTCTTGAGTCTCAACTTGAACCATCCCGTCAGTTACGGTCACTCGAAATTCTAATACATGTATGTGAATTTCATCTACTACACAATCATTAACATATACTAATTCTGTTACAGTGAACTCTGAATAGCTCTGAATCATATTTATGAGCCTTTCACACATAATTCAACGATGTACAACTGTTATGGTCCGACTAAGGTCAACTAGGTGTGTTTTTCATTCTGATATATTTTATCTGTCATTTGCTTACACTTCTTTTTACCCAGCTACTTCAAACACTACATCAATCATCGCTCGACAGTGGGACTTTTAGCAGTTGAGGTGTCTATTAATGAGTTGTCCATTAAGGTGCGTCATCAATCCACTATTATCTGTTAACTACTAATACTACGCAATCCTATCCTGATACTCCCTCCTCCACCTCAGTGCATCCCCTCTCACTCGCTTGCTGTTCTTGCTGGCTGGTTCTTGCTCGCTCACTGTGTCTCACTCGCCCACTGTCTCTCGCTCGCTGTCTCTCTCGCCCGCTGTCTCTCACTCGCTAGTTGCTCTTGCCCGCTGTCTCTTGCCCGCTGTCTCTTGCCCGCTGTCTCTCACTCGCCCACTGTCTCTCACCTGCCCACTGTCTCTCACTCGCCCGCTGTCTGCTCTCGGCCACTGTCTCTCACCCGCCATCTCTCACTCGCTCACCTCTCATAGATAGTATATCTTTCCCATCTGGCGTCCGACGCGCAGCTTTACTCGTGCCAATGCATATCCACCTGTATGGCTGCACGCTGTAGCTACAACCCAGAATCCAGATGGGCCTGTTATAGGTAATTTTTCGCATTTTTATGTATGTTATCTACATTTGTTACTTTATCAATACCTGGAATACATTACATCTAATTTTGACTAGAAATGTGCGAGTGAGTGCCCTAGAATCTAGATGTAAATATGCCCGCTCCAAACCTGCTTCCGTGTCTGACTTATTTGGGATATGTCATTGGTCAAGCGGCTTCAAATGAGATCCGTTTTGAACAAGGTACCAAATAGAAGCTCAGCAAAGTGGAAGGCACAATGCGAACTGAGATTCAACGAACTGAATATTAGATCTTCATAGGTGTCTTGGTTGCCGAGGACCAAAAAAGAAATATCATTGACTGAAAGTGCTACAATCTACAGTATTAAAGGTCTGCTAGTTAGCATGTTCTGATGCATTGATGATGCATCGGAAAGCTTGGTAATGTACATAGTTGATGCATTACCTATCACTTATAAGTACCAGAATTGATACATCAGCCTTACAGGGACTTGTGATGATAAAAGGCTTCGTGCAGCCATTCGAGCATCTCAGTCCGTTTGCAACGACTGAGATGTACGTGCACATTATCTCACTTATTATATTCCAAAAGCTAACAAGTACCTAGTCTCTACTTGTTCTAGGTACATACTCAATGTAAACAGAGTCCATTTGCAACGACTGAGATTCTCTACTTGTTCTAGCTCACTCTCCAGGTGCCTGTCGCTATCTACAATGAATTCAAGTTTTACGAGTTAGTTGACATGGATGTGGAAGGTGAAGACGACGAGCAAACATTGGACAACATGATGAGTAGTACAATCTAGTGTTGCCAATGATATTGTGTTCTTCCAGCTTAGTAAGCGTGGGAAAAGCCAACCGCTGCCGTACCGCCAATGGCTAAGCCAAGTTTTCCTGGCTAGTCAGTGGCTTGCCACTGGCGGTAGAAACACTGTCTTCCAAGTAGCTTCCACAATTTTCGGGTCTGCTTCCAAGTGAGTGACAATGCCGCCGGTAAATTGAGCCCTTTCAAGCCATTGTGGGACATTCCAACCAAAAATAGGATTTTCCGATATTAGTCCTTATTATTGGTTACAACTTGAAACTGCTACTAGCTACCGTGAAGCACTGTGTTACGCGCTGCTACAAGTCGCTTCGCTCGGTAGTGCGTTTCCTGATGGAATTGTCACCAACCGTGAATCGAATCAAAGTTTTCAGTCGTAGTAAATGTGGCGGGTGATGGCCTTATCGCCCTTTTCTTTCTCAACAGAGCTACTATGACATGGTCTCGTAATCCCCGCTAATTGCAATAGATTTCGAAGCCTGGCACCCTGCTCGCGTCCTCATCGTGATGCACAATTCATCTTTCACTTTTGTACAGATTCCACGACACCTTACCGGTCATAAGACGGCCAATCGTATCGTCATCCCGCCTACAACAGTATAGAGGATCTCGGAGTTGCACTCTAGGCTTGCACCAGAACCAAGAAGATGCCCCTCATGCCACGATTTATGATGTGGGGTACCCACTTAATCACACTTGTCGTTCCAATCGTCTCGGCAATAGAGGTCGCAATCCCTCTTACTGCGCCCTTGGGAGCAGCACCACTCAAGGGGAACCTCGTTTCGCTTTCAATCGAGCAAGATAGATGGAACGATTGGGCTGGCACGACAGAACCGAATACATTCTTCAACAACGTCCTTGATAACTTTATCCAAATTACGAATGCTCCTCCCTTCGTAAGAATAGGTGCTGACTCGGAGGACCATACTGATTTTAGCTATGACGTTGAGGTAAATTTCTTTCAATGTTGAATCAGTTCGTATGTTTAGCTGGTGCATAGTACGAAGAAGATATTTTCCCTCCTTCGAGCACAATCACGCCATACCCAGAAGCCACTAATATCACTGTTGGGCAAGGCTTCTATGATATCATCTCTCATCTTCCCAACGGTAATCTAACTTTCTAGATGCTCTCAACTTGCCAAGCGACTAATTTGCTTTACTTCCAGGGACGGAAGTTCACTGGGGCTTGAACTTGAGGGAATACAACATCACGACAGCCTACCTCGAAACTGTTGCGCTCATGAACGCATTTTCTTCCCCTGCTGTCCTAGAGAAACATATTACTCTGAAGTTCATCGAACTTGGCAACGAGGCCGATCTCTACTACGACAATGAGGGCCGTAACAGCAGCTGGAATGTACAAGAATATGTTTCTGAGTAAGTTTATGACGACGACTTCCTCATTAGTGCTGACCGATATATAGGTGGGAGGAATTTGCATATAACGTATCGATAACCGCCAACCTTTCCAAGTTATCTTGCACAAAATTAATCGGAGCCGCTTTCGCTGGGTCTTCTCACAACAACCTTAGCGGTTTCTCTCCGCAAGCTATATTTAATCTGGGCATTCTTGAATCTCCTGCAGGTCAACTGATCGAGACGTATGTCAAACACAACCTCAGAATCTGGATGGCGTGCTGAATCCTATGGCTAGCATTTCGCAGCACCATTATAGTGGCTCATTCTGCACTGGCAGCGGAGCTGCGCTGCAGGACTTAATGACCAAGAGCTATATCCGTGGTAATTTATCCGCGTTTGTCCCAGATATTGAGGCGACCTTGGCCAACGGGCTGAAGTACATCCTCGGGGAGACAAACAGTAAGTTATTGTCTGATAATTGTCCGACAGCACTAGACTTGCTAACTTGTTCATAGGTATCAGTTGCCACGGTGCACCTAGTAAGGTCGACAACATGAACAGTGGTCGCAATGACTTACATGTGATCGTCCTTTTTACCAGATGTCAGCAATACAGCCGGCGCCGCCCTCTGGTTACTTGACTATACTTTGTATGCCACACAAGTTGGTATTAGTCGCATACACTTTCATGAGGGCATTGGCTACAAGTACAATTTGGTTAGTACTCAGCTGAGTCAATGCAGCGTTACTCAATCCCCTTATGAGCAGATTCAACCCGTGACGCTTAACTACTCAATTCTGGACGGTTCCCCGATTACACCGCTGGCACCGCACGTACAGCCAGCATACTATGCGGCTATCATCGTCGCAGAGGCTATCGGGTCATCTGGGACCACGCAGGCAGTCGAAATCTCCATCGATGAAAATAATGTATCGGGCTATGCATTTTTTGAGCATGGAAGCCTCTCAAAAGCTGTTTTCATAAACACGGTCGCGTACTTTTCCGGCACTGGTGCAAGGAATTCGACTCACATCGATTTCTCTTTCACGGGTCTCGGATATCCTCCCAATAATACGAGCGTGAAGACGCTGAAAATTGGGTATGAGCTGATTTCATCATCATTGCGACCTGGATGCTAAAGCTATCTGTAGCTATGCCTCCGACACCAGTAATCTGACCTGGGGAGGTCAGACGTACGAGACCAGCGACGGTAGAGTTAGTGGACCACTAACCGTCGATGTCTTACCTATCAGTTCTGGAATAGACTTGCAAGAGACAGAAGCAATCCTCGTTACGTTTTCATGATTGGGATGGTTTAGCATGCAATAGTAATTATAATGCACAGTCACCAGGACAATTTTTCGTTGCATCTTGCCGCTATCACGATACATCCTTCGTACGTATCTATGTACATGCACATTCACCTATCATACACATTCTATCCACGTTCACTCCGTTTCAACGATCCTTTAATATTCAGTGTCTAGAATATTCCTTTCCCTCGGTCTTTTCTCTTCCTCGTTTCTAGTTCAAGGCTCTGCATTTCTTCAGAGACGCAGAGCTTTCAGTTGTTGACGCGTTCAAAAGTGAGAAATGCTATGCAGGCACAGCTTCGACCGTGTACCGCTAAGACACGCATCATCAGTGGAGAAGGTAAGACTCCCGGTGAGGGTCCTCGCATATCTGCTGATTTAAAAATGTGAGTTTCAAGTTCAAACTACTTGTATGATAGCGGAATCCCATCCACGGGTGGATGATGTCGGAAATTTCTTATTTGGGTTCCAAGGGGTTAAAGCTCGTCGTGGTATTATGTGATTCCCTGGATTGCGCCCCTATTCTCTTGGAAGAGTTATTTTGCGCTTGCCATTATAATTCAATGCCATATTATTATAGTACGTTCGAGCCGAGCCGACTTGACTACGGTAACTGGCAAGAAACTGGAGTCCTTTGAATTCTTAGCCATAATCGTCTACCTACTCGTACGCTATGTAATTATAATTGAGTCGATTACTACTAGACGAAGGTTGGCAGTTCTAGAAAGCGCTTGCACATAACTTGCGCTGAAGCTTTCTCCTCTTCCTAAGGACGTCGGGTTTGAGCGTTTGAGAGCGATACAATGTAAAATTTTATGGATACTGTGCATGTGGAGGTGTTGTCAATGTATGAAATGAAAACATCCCGTTCATCGCAGCTACAATATCTCCAACATCCTGACGTTCATCATGTCATCAACAGATGTTATGTCCGCAACTTGCGCGATGATTTTGTTATCCGAAGCGACTCTCTTATACTCCCCACCCCACTGCTGCGCTAGCAGAAGTCCGCCAAAAGGCTGTCCGAGGCGAACGATCAACCTCAACTCTCGCGTAGTTGGTTCGTTGTATCCAGGAGACCCAGGCTCGGGCCAATCTTCTCCGCTCTGCGGCTCATCTGCAAAATTAATCAGGCCGAGATCATGACGATTCCACGGACGGACGAGTAGAAATGTCTGCTGAGCATGCCTTGCAGGCGAGAATTGACCAAGCTTGTCTTCCGTTATGACGAGCAGGTCTTGTAGCCCGTCTGCCTTGACGTCATAAATGAAACATGTATCCCCGTCTTGACCAGGCCTCCGCCTGACTTCTGTGAGAGGAAATACGATGCAAGGTAATTGCAATCTTGCGTTTGCGAAACGAGGAACGCTGAGGTTCTCAAGAATGGTATACAGTTTCGAAGCTAACGCCACAGCCACAATATTGTTTCGCAGCGTGGAGACCGACTTCTGCATGTCGTGTTTAGACAGAGATGGTACCGTGCATGGCAGAGCCTTGTATGAAGAAATCTCGGCAGGGAGACAACTGTTGAAGTTGGACGGTCGTCCCACCCAGTCCAAGGCCGTGATATCGCCCGAATGGGCTATGATCTCCTGCAGCAGTCGTCCGAGCGCCTTTTGTCTTTTCTCTCCATAAATGACAGGAAGGTTGACATCAAAAATGCCAAACAAAGAGTAGGCGATGTCTTCCTCCCTCGTGGTGTTTCGGTTTGACGCCCATCGGAGTTTCTCTCGGGCATCTCTTGTCCCTCGATGGAAGTCAACGAGCGCCCACGCATTTATGCCTGTTGCATTTTCCAACTCCTGCATGATGGTGACAGACTCCTTGTGGTTGCGTGAGCGGTAATCGAGATATAAGGTCCAATCTGCTTGGTAGAAGAGAACAATTTTAGGAGCGAGGAACTCCTGAACAGTCCATCCTCGCGTGTTCCAAGTGCTGTTTGCGAGCGCGCCCGACTTTGATGAAGGAGGAACATCCGCTAGGTAGACGATGGTGAGCGCTGAGTAGTGATACCAGACGAACATGGAGTTCACTGATTGCTGAACCTCAACATTGTTGTTCTGGTCAATGCAGCATGTGTCGCTCCACGCCCAACGATGCCCCGCATTGTGTGCAACTTTGCAGAACTTCTGCAACTTCACAATGGTTCCGACCGGATCCAAATTGTATACATTGTTGCCCTGAATGTCGTTCAGTAGCGGCTCCTTCCTTTCCCACCTATGGGACAACATGACCCAGCTGAAGTACTTCGCGACCGCTTCTTTGATGGACTCCGTTTGGTTGGGCGCATGCATCATCAATGAATGCAAAAGCTCTTTGTGCTCTGTACTCTCCGTGAATGCGTTTATCTGTGCATCTCGATCGCACAAACGTCCAGTAGAGGTGTTGATTAGACGAAGGGGGGCGTTTTCCAGTTGAACGTGAATAGCTCGTCGAATAGCATCTTCTATTTCAGATAAATTGGCGTATTTATAGCGTAGCTCTGCAAAAATATAAGTGATCTTCAAGTCGGCGCTTGAGTTGTTTGGGGCTTACGTCGTATTTGTGGGTCGAGTGCATCATCCAACTTGGAGAGCATGATTATCAAGGCCTTGAATGCATCATCATAGCGACGTGCTCCAAGAAGCGCTGCATGCTTCAATTCGTACCCGAGATAAGATGAAGGGTTGAGCTCAATGACCTACGAACATCATCACAAATGTTTTAACGACGACGAATATCGACCGCACCTTTTCCGCATCCGAAAGGGCCTCCGCATAGAGCTTTTGGCCTAACTTCACCTTACTGCGATGCGCAAGGTATGAGTAATCTGTCTCGAATGCTGCGGAAAGTGTGTTCTCGATCGACCAGAGATGAACATTCCCATCATCGTCTCCACTCGCGAGTAGTTCTCCGCTGGAAGAAATTGCGACGCAGAAAACCAATGTGGTATGTTCGAGTGCCTGTCCTATCTGCTGGTGTGACTTTGTATTCCACAGGCGCACAGTCTTATCGTGCGAGGCAGTGACAATGAAGGAGCCATCAGAAGATATGGCCAGGGAGACTATGCGAGTGTGACAGTTGCAAGGTTGACCGAGCTGGCACGCATTTGACGAGTCCCAAAACTTGATTGTTTTGTCCGCCGATGCGGAGACAAGTTGCTGGCCATCAGGCGACCACACAACGCTTTCGACCCAATCGTTGTGAGCCTCGATCTTGAGAAGAAGCTCTGTGTTGCTGGTGCGCCAAACCCGAATGGTACCCTGAGATCCGCCGGATGCTAATTTTAGCCCATCCGGGCTGAAAGCGACACACAACACCATACCTGCATTACATCGGAGTGTTGAGAGGACAGCGCCGGTCTCTGCATCCCATATAATAACTGTGTCATCCCATGACCCGCTTGCAAGCCTCTTTCCATCGGGGGAGAAGCACACTGAGGACACCCGGCGTGTATGCTTCAGCAGCGGTTTGAATAGCATCTGCTTGCTCTTGACGTCCCAGATGATGATGGCTCCGTCTCCTCCAGCACTCGCAATTCGCCTATCGTCTGGCGATACAGCAACTGATGTCACTATGTCACTATGTCCCTGGAATGGTCCTCCCATGAATGCTCTTGTCTCCATGTCCAAGATTCGTAGGGTTTTATCCTTTGAAGCAGTGACGATCCGTCGACCGTCTTTGAAGAATGCAACTACTAACACTGCCTTCGTGTGCACTCGCGTTGTGTATGATGGCGCCAGCCCTGTCGTCTGCGCCGGCGTCCTGTGCCTTCTCGCAGTAAGATATGCTTTTTTTGTTGCATCGAGTAATCCCTCCATATCGCTAAACAGGAAGATAGACTGTCAGTAGCAGTTAAACTTTGAAGTTGATGAGGAGCATACCCTGGTTAAGTCGTCGATCTTATGTGGTGTCGTGAGTAGAGTTGGATTTCTACTCGTTTATAAACCTTGCAACTCATGTAGGCGCTTGTCCGTTCTGGCTCACGGCGTACTTACCACATTGCCACTAATTACACTGACATATAACATGCATACTGAGTCCATAGGCTTGAAGACCGCCAAGTAAATCATAAATATGGCAGGTGAGCCACAATCAATTGCCTCTGTGATTATACCCCTATATGCTTGCTATCATATCCTCCTACATGCTTTCCGTCAAGTGGTACCACCCCCGACAGATATGCAAGGATTTCACCAAGTCTAAAGTTTTCTAATTGAACGAAAAAAACGACGCGACTGCCAACATATATGCAAACAGCTGTAATTCATTCCAGGCGCTTGTCACGATGGTGGTGGGAACTAAGCCAGCTGTGGATGAGAGCGGTACGTAGACGTCAGGCCGTCACCTTCACAATCGCATACATTTCCGAAAACTGGTGCGAGGAACGCGCCTTTTTTTCACTGGTTCCGACGCTGCAGTGCTGATAATTGATCTTTATCGGGGCCGCGACCTGAATATTTGCTGTGTCTGTCCAGAAGTATTCCGTTGATGTCGCCTGATATGGTGGTCCAGGTCAGGGCTATAATATTATTACGTTGCATTGACGTCGATGGTTTAATGCTACCACTGCCTACCAGGACACTTTTGAATGCTGTGGCTATCCAGAAGTAGTATCCCTCCAATGCGACTGGTGGTCAGGGTTCGTTACGTTGACAAGGATAGTTCAATGCTCAAGTCATTCTAATACACGGCCACCAGAACACTTCGTCTTTGAGCGCTCGAGCTTTGAACAACTAGAGTGACAAGGCAGCGTAAGACCATCGTCCGGGAAACTGAGAGTCTCATTTATGAAAGTACTGTCACTCACACGAGGACCGAGGTCTACGAGAGTGCGTGAATCGAGAATAATATACGACTTCTGCGGTGAGAGGTATTCGAAGATAGCCTTGAATCGTGCACCGCTGCGTCACCATGACTGGACCAATCTGAATGAGCGCAGTTTTAGGAAATGCCAGCACCGGAGCTTTCTAAGTTGTCCTCTTCCCTATGTGGGACCGTCACCTATAAGGACATCTAATTTGGGGATTGACAGTCTGGTCTGTATATGGAACAATACACGACACGATATCGATACGATGCAAAATTCTAAGGGATGTATGTAGAGGGGTTGTCGAGGTATAGAATGGAAACGTCTGGTTCATCGCAGTTACAATATCTCCAGCATCCTGACGTCCATCATGTCAACAACAGATGCCATGTCCTTAACTTGCGCGATGATATTGTTATCCGAAGCAATTCTCTTATACACCCCACCCCACTGTTGCGCTAGCAAAAGTCCCCCAAAAGGCTGTCCGAGGCGAACGATCAGCCTCAATTCTCGCGTAGTTTGCTCGTTGTATCCGGGAGACCCAGGCTCGGGCCAATCTTCTGTGCTATGCGTCTCGTCTGCAGAGTTAATCAGCCCGAGATCATGACGATTCCACGGACGGACGAGCAGGAACGTCTGCTGAGTACGCCTTGCAGGCCAGAATTCAACTAGCCTATCTTCCGTTGTGACCAGCAGGTCTTGTAGCCCGTCTGCCTTGATGTCATAAGTGAAACATGTATCCCCGTCTTGACCAGGCCTCCGCCTGACTTCTGTGAGAGGAAATGCGATACAAGGCAATTGCAGTCTGGCGTTTGCGAAACGAGGAACGCTGAGCTCCTGAAGAGTGGCATACAGCTTCGGAGCCGACTGCACAGTCATACTATTGTTTCGTAACTTGAAGATCAAATTCCGCATCTCGTCTTCGGATAGGGATGGCAGGGTACATGATAGAGCTTTGTATGAGGAAATCTTGGCTGGGAGACAACTGTTGAACTGGGACGATTGTCCCACCTAGTCCAGGGCCGTGATGTCACCCGAATGGGCTATGATTAATTGATTTCCTGTAATAGTCGCCCGAGCGCCTTTTGTCTTCTCTCTCCATAGATGACAGGAAGGTTGACATCAAAAATGCCGAACAAAGAGTAGGCGATGTCTTCCTCCCTCGGGTGTCACAGTTTGGCGCCCATCGGAGTTTCTCTCGGGCATATCTTGTACCTGGATGGAAATCGATGAACGCCCGCGCATTTATGCCAGTTAAACGCTCTAACTCCCTCATGATGCTGATAGACTCCTTGTGGTTGCGTGAGCGGTAATTGAGATATAAGGTCCATCCTCACGTATGATGCAGAGACCCATCAGGCGACCACACAACGCCCTGAACAAAATCTTGGTGGGCGTCGATCCTGAGAACTTGAAGAAGCTTGCCGTTATTCGTGCTCCAAACCCGAATGTTGCGCAATGTTCCGTGTGCTACTTAATTTTAGCCCATCTGGGCTGAAGGCGACAGAGGACACCCAATCCAGGTCACCGAGAGGATAGCTGCATCCCATATAATAACTGTGCTATCCCATGACCCGCTTGTAAGTCTCTTTCCATCGGGGGAAAAGCACACCGAGAACACTCGACCTCTATGCTGCACCAGCGGTTTGAATAGCATTTGCTTGCTCTCGGCGTCCCAGATGATGATAGCTCTATCCCATCCACCACTTGCAATTCGCCCATCGTCTGGCGATACAGCAACTGAAGCCACATCGCGGCTGTGTCCTCGAATAGTTCTCCCAATGTCCCATGAATGCTCTTCTCTCCACGTCCCAGATTCGCAGGGTTTTATCCTTTGAAACAGTGACGATCCGTCGACCGTCTTTGAAGAATGCGACTGCCGTCACTGCCTTCGTGTGCACGCGCATCGTGTGTGTTGGTAGCTGGGTTGTCTGTGCCGGTGTCCCTCGCCTTCTGACAGCAGGATACACTTTTTCTGCCACATCGCGCAACCACTCCATATCGCTGTACAGGGAGATAGACAGCCAGTAGCGTTTGAAGTTGACGAGGAGTGTACTCTATGGTTAAGCCGTCTATCTGATGTATTGCGAGTAGAGCTGGATTTCTATAACCAATTCATTTAGGCTCTTTATATATCGTTTGCTCTAGACCACGTTGCTTCAACGTGGATCTCTTTCCGCTCATTCCATTAGTGGAGGACTTCCCGCAGCATTTAGAAGTTAGAACGTTGTTCTACTTTCCGGGCACACCACCATGGACATCTGAAACTACACAGGTAGTCGAAAATGCTGTAGACGAGAGCGATGCGTCACGCTATGTTTCAAGCATCGTAACCTCTCAAAAGCTGTCTTTATAAATATAATCGCATAATTTTCTAGTACATAATACATACTGGTGTAAGAACCTCACCTCACAATGGTCGTTCTTTCACCGGTTCTGGCGCCGCAGCCGCGCAGCGCTGGGCGATCTGAATGCTGTGGCTGTCCGAAAGCATCTCTCTGATGCTCCCATGAACTGATGATCAGGGCTCGTTACGTGGCTTTGGCATGAATAATTTAATACTACAGTCATTCTATTCTAATACACGACCACCTGGACAATTCGTTGTTGGCCTTTGGAAACCCTGGATTGGCAAGACAACGCCATCCCATCGTCAATCCAAGTTCTCATTCACAAAAGTACCATCACTCACACAGCTACTGGTCTACACTGGGTCTACGAGACCGATATCTGGAACATCTCTTTAACCTTTGCTACAACTTCCGGAACTCCCGTATTCTGTAAAAATGAAAAAAAGGCGATCAATGATGAGACAAACCCGAGAATCACGACACATCCCACCTTTGTAAGCTCGTCACTAATCTTCACACATTCCTTCCCATCAATCGACCCAAGTTTGATCACGATATTCAACGCCTTGCTCCGTTCCTCATACCCACTGCTCTTCGTCTTGAAGTCGTTGGTCAGCCAAGTTCCAATCCCAAACGAACCTGCACGTGCGATTAGACCACGAGCAGCCAAATATAAGGCGACGACGCACACTTGAATCCCAGCAGCTGGCACTGCTCATTCAACTCCTTCGCCTTCTTGAAATCCAACCCGTCGCTGAAGATGATAGCTTTTTGCGTATGATCCATCCCGAGCTCTTCGTACATCCGCTTAGCCCTCGGTGCGAATACTTTTGGGTCTCCCGAGTCTTGACGTAGGGCTTTCCATTGGCTAGCGCGCCTATGATCGAATTCCTATAAATAAAATAAAAAATAATCACCAAGAATGAAGATAGAAATAGAAATAAAAAGAAAATCAGAGACGCTGCGCAGTGATAAAGTGGACATGCGTACCCGATAAAACACTTCAGTGGAGAACGTATCCGTGAGCGTGACTGACAGACTGTCTCCGTAGAGGTTGGACCAGAGGTCTAGAGCTGTCCCAGCAGCGTCTTTGTAATCTCCCAGCGCCGCAATCTAAGTATATTTTTGATCAGAGGAGATTTTATCATCAAGAGAGTGGAACTTGCACCCATGAACCACTCGCTAAAATTCACAAGTCAGAAGTCAGAATGAACAAAAAAAGAACAGCTACATACTGAGCGATCGTGCCTATCGCATTGAGGTTGTATCGCATAGCGAAGTAGACCTGCGCATCTGCGTCAAAAAAAAACCAGAAGGAGACCACCGATATGAAGAATAACATACATTACTGGTTCCAAAAAAACCCTGCTTCCACTCATGCGCATCCCTCGCCTTGATAAGGCCTCTCACCACTAAATCATGCGTGACGAACGACCGCCTGCGCCGCGTCCCGAATTCGCTGAACGTACATCGTGCGTCTAAAAGGGATGTAGCTTTATGCGTGGCTTGTTCTGACCCGTGCACGTACTGAGTATCACGAAAGAATGAAAAATGAACAAGGGGATCTGACTCACCTTCCTGGCCGGTATAATCCCAATCTTGTTCTGCATATCGGAAATACATCTCACACAGACACGCCATGAGCGGGACCTCCCATAAAACGGTCTCCAGCCACAGGCCCCTCACTTCGATCTTGACGCTGCCCATATCGGGGTCATCGGAAGACGGGAGGAAGGTGGCGGAGATCTACGGGTGCGTGTCAATGGAGTGCAAGGACGGAGCTTGACGGGCATGTAATCACTTGTTCAGGTTTGAACCTGTAAGACTGGAGATAATCGAGGTACGCAGGCTTGAAAAACTTGCATTTATCTTGAAGCCATGCGCGTTCGTCTTGTGTTAGTTGTACATCGGCGAAACCTGCATGTATTAATTCAGCACACAAAATTGAATAGTCAGAGAAACAAACCGTTCAGCGCTTCGCGAAATTTCTGTATGCATGCTCTGGAGAACTGGCGGTGCTTGTCGCGGTGCGTGAATCGATAGACGACTTGGGTAGTGGGATAGTATTCGAAGATAGCCTGTTGCATCGTGAACTGCACAACTGCATCAGAAGAGGTGACCATGATGGCGCTACTGCGATACATGCCTTGTACAAGTCAGTATCAAGGATCGATACGACCTTGAATTCAGACTGGACGCTAGCGCTCGTCATGATGATGATAGGTAGAGTAAGAAAACTTGGTGTTGCTTCAAATTACCGGCACCGATTACCGATCATACAAAACAGTTTAACCGGAACCGCTAGCTACAGTTGACATCAATCCTATGTCTCAGTCTCCTTCGCTACAACCATTCCGGGCCCGGCCTCAAGTTTATCCACCAAATCACCTGTCCGTTCCCTGAGCGCATCCCTCATCTCACTCCATAACACCTTGCCCGCATCACAAGCAACTCTAAATACCTCCTCAAAGCGATCCATATGCAACCTGGTCTCCATCTGGACGAGCGTGACGCGTCCGGTACGAGGCATCACGCCCACCACGACGCTAGGGACGTCGTTTTCTTCGACTGTGGTTAGATCGAGTAAGGGTTGGGTGCCGTACACGCCACCGCTGATAGCGCAGACAAAGTCGAAGAGGGGGATACCTGCTGTTGCTAGAGCGAGGGTGGAGGCATTTATGCAAGCGGGGAGGAGGCCGCCATCGAGCTGAAGGACGTGTACGAAGATGTCGATTGTGCTGCGTGGATAGAGATGGGTTTGGACGACTGGTTCGAATGTGCTTTTGATTGATGCTGCGAGTTCAAGGAGACGCCTGAGTGGTATTAACGATATACGTAATAAAGTGGGTGTCAATAACATTTACTTGTCGGATCTGCCTCTTCTTCTTCGTTCACCGACGCCAAAAGGGGCGAGTTGTACTTCGACGTTTAGTGTTGCGCGATCGTGGAATGTTTCGCGTCTTGTTCCTTGTTTTGGTTCGTGTGGACCGAGTACTGAGACGCGTACTTGAGTGAGGCCGTGTGAGTAGGTGACGCTGCCGTCTGCTGTTCCTTGTGGTGCAAAGTTGATGGCTAATGTCCGTAGTTCATAAGGTCTACGACCGTCGCTGCGAAGAAGACCAGCATTGAGTAGTTCGATGCGGGATGACTGGATGTGAATATGTGGAAGACGGTTATGTTGGGAATATTGAGTAAAGTGGGCGCACCATGGTTGGTCAATATGAATGTCAAGAGCTTGTTTTCAAAAGTCTCACGCAAAAAATTGTACATTGGTTATCTTATACAGGATTCTTTTGATCTCGACGCATGTGAGCCATTTCTGACCAGCATTGTGTTCGACCTTTTTTCCTTCTTCCGTTGAGCTATACACTGCATCCAAGATGGGACTTTTTTCCTCTTTCCCTAGTTCTCGTTCCTCAACAAACTGAAAGAGTGGATGAGCGCGCATCCACTGTGCAAGCGTACCTTAAGCTTGTATTTTTGCCTGTTTTAGCGATCTGTGAGGAAGCGAGGAATATTAGTCATCGCGGGTGAAGTAAGATCTGGTTGGTAGCTCTGTTCCCTATCATATAGCTCAGCACTGAGTACTGAACTTCTGAATCTACTTCGTTTTCTTGCTTTCTAGGCCTAGGTCAGCCTCGCTCTTGAACTCATCTTACTACACGCCTACTAGTACTCTCCGCCATCACACCATACTATCCGAGTCTGCCTACAGGTCACCTTGCGGATTCCATGGGCACAAGATACTTCAGCGGTAAGGATCACACATCTCTCGTTATGTGTGGGGCGACGGTATGTGTCTTTCGTGCATGTCTATGATATGTGTATTCGAACAAACCTGAATATAGAACAGTTTTCTCCCCGATATTCTGTCGTGCCCTAGTGTCTGCACATATGCCACCGGCGTCCACGACCATCCATATGATTCACTGCACCCTCCAAGGACCAACGTTCATTCGTGTCATAATTTCTGGCAAGCCCAGCACTGAGAGCTGTACCAGTCAATGGCAGCCATATCTTGTTGTTCAATGAGAATGACAACTTGTCTGCGGAGAAGAGGTATGTCTTGTTGTGCGCTACAGCCTCATATTGTGACACACCACCCAAAGATATTTGCTCAATGACAAACCTACTCTGGGGTGAACTGGGGGACCCAAAAGCTTTCAGGTGGGAAGCAGAATGCTGAGATGAACGGTGAGATGATGTTATACAACCAGCGTGGAACATCAGGGGCAAACGCAAAGCGTCAGGCACACTTATGCGGAGAACTAGTAGCAGCCTCATTCGAGGCACATTATGCGCAGACCCGGAGAGTTTGAATCATTCTGGGTATGCCATGGATGTCACGGCAGATCGATAGTAGCTAATTGTATCTGTTGCATCACACCGTGAGTACTACTGTCAGCAGTGCGCCGTATTGATGATTTTCGCGTGGAAGGGATGAATTGCATAGCATATGTATTAGCACGCAGTACTACGATGCATCACAGGTGCGCTTCAGTTACAGCAATCAATGCATGAGAAGGACACCAACCTGTGAGCGCTTGCGCCGGAGCTGTCCTTTTCGTAGGACGTCTGATTTAAGGATTATGTTGTCTGTAATATGAGACAATGTATGATACGATACAGGTGTGTTGTCAAAGTATGAAAGAAAAATGACCCGTTCTTCGCAGCTATAATATCTCCAACATTCTGATATCCATCATGTCGTCAACAGATGCCGTGTCCTTAACTTGCGCGATGATATTGTTATCCGAAGCAATTCTCTTATACTCCCCACCCCACTGCTGCGCTAGCAAAAGTCCCCCAAAAGGCTGTCCGAGGCGAACGATCAACCTCAACTCTCGCGTAGTTTGCTCGTTGTATCCGGGAGACCCAGGCTCGGGCCAATCTTCTGTGCTATGCGTCTCGTCTGCGAAGTTAATCAGCCCGAGATCATGCCTATTCCACGGACGGACGAGCAGGAATGTCCGCCGAGTACGCCTTGCAGGCGAGAATTGACCAAGCTTGTCTTCCGTTATGACCAGCAGGTCTTGTAGCCCGTCTGCCTTGACGTCATAAATGAAACATGTATCCCCGTCTTGACCAGGCCTCCGCCTGACTTCTGTGAGAGGAAATACGATGCAAGGTAATTGCAATCTTGCGTTTGCGAAACGAGGAACGCTGAGGTTCTCAAGGATGGTATACAGTTTCGAGGCCGATTCCACAGCGAAAATATTATTTCGTGATGAGGAGACCGAATTCTGCATGTCGCGTTCAGATAGAGATGGCAGTGCACACGACAGAGCCTTGTATGAGGAAATGTTGGCTGGCAGGCAACTGTTGAAGTTGGACGATTGTCCCACCCAGTCCAGGGCCGTGATGTCGCCCGAATGGGCTATGATCTCCTGTAAAAGTCGTCCGAGCGCGTTCTGTCTTTTTTCTCCGTAGATTACAGGGAGGTGGACACCGAAGATCCCAAAAAGCGAATACGCGATGTCTTCCTGCAAAGTAGTGACACGCGTTGATGCCCATTGAAGTTTCTCTCGGGCACCTCTCATCCCCGGGCGGAAGTCGACGAGCGCCCGCGCACTTATGCCAGTCGAACGCTCCAACTCTTGCGTGATAGCGAGGGAATGCTTGTGGTTGCGTGAGCGGTCGTCAAGATATAGGGTCCAATCTGCTTGGTAGAAGAGAACAACTTTAGGAGCGAGGAACTCCTGAACGGTCCATCCTCGCGTGTTCCAAATGCTGCTTGCGAGCGCGCCAGACTCTGATGAAGGAGGCACGTCCGATAGGTAGACGATGGTGAGCGCTGAGTAGTGATACCAGACGAACATAGAGTTCACTGACTGCTGGACCTCCACATTGTTGTTCTGGTTGATGCAGCACGTATCGATCCACGCCCAACGATGCCCCGCATCACGAGCGACTTCGCAGAACTTCTGCAACTTCACCACGGTTCCAACCGGATCCAAGTCATATATGTCCCTGCCCTGAATGTCGTGCAGTAGCGGTTCCTTCCTTTCCCACCTATGGGACAACATGACCCAACTGAAGTACTTTACAACCGCTTCTTTGATGGGCTCCGTTTGGAGGGGCGCATGCATGCCGAATGAATGTAAAAGTTCTTTGTACTCTGTACTCTGCATGAACGCATTGATCTGCGCATCTCGATCGCACAAACGTCCAGTAGAGGTGTTGAGTAGACGAAGGGGGGCGTTTTCCAGTTGAGCATGAATGGCTCGTCGGATAGCATCTTCTACTTCAGATGGACTGACATATTTCTGGCGTAGCTCTGCAAAAATTGTAAGTCGTCTTCAAGTCTGCGCTTGAGTTGTCTGAGGCTTACGTCGTATTTGTGGGTCGAGTGCATCATCCAACTTGGAGAGCATGATTGTGAAGGCCTTGAATGCATCATCATAGCGTTGTGATCCATGAAGCGCTGCATGCTTCAACTCGTACCCGAGATAAGACGAAGGGTTGAGCTCGATAACCTACGAACATTATCACAAATGTGAAAACAACAACGAATATCGTCCGCACCTTTTCCGCATCCGAAAGAGCCTCTGCATAAAGCTTTTGGCCCAACTTCACCTTACTGCGATGCGCAAGGTATGAGGAGCCCGTCCCGAATGCTGCAGAAAGTATGTTCTCGATCGACCATAGATGAACATTCCCATCATCGTCTCCACTCACGAGCAGTTCTCCTCTAGGAGAAATTGCAACGCAGAAAACACGTGCAGTGTGTTTGAGTGGTTGTGCTATCTGTTTGTGTGACTTTATGTCCCACAGGCGCACAGTATAGTCGTCCGAGGCGGTTGCATTGAAGAACCCATCAGAAGAGATGGCAAGTGACCTAATGGAGGAAGTGTGACCAGTGCAAGGTTGACCGATCTGTGACCCATTTGAGGAGTCCCAAAACTTGACTGTTTCGTCATTTGATGCAGAGACAAGCTGCTGGCCGTCAGGCGACCACACAACTTGAATGCTGTTATAAACCCAATCATTGTCATGAGCTTTGATGTCGAACTGAACCTCTGCGTTATTGGTGCTCCAAATCCGAATATTGCGATATAATCCGTATGCTAATCTTAGCCCGTCCGGGCTGAAGGCGACACACGACACCGAACTCCAGCACTCGAGGGTTGAGAGGACCGCGCCGGTCTCCGCATCCCATATGATAACTGTTTCATCCCATGATCCGCTTGCAAGTCTCTTGCCATCGGGGGAGAAACAGACCGAGGACACCCGGCGCATATGCTTCTCCAGCGGTTTGAACAGCATCTGCTTGCTCTGGACATCCCAGATGATGATGGCTCCATCATCTCCACCACTCGCAATTCGTCTATCGTCTGGAGATACGGTAACTGACGTCACGACGTCACTATGTCCTTCGAATGGCCCTCCCACACATGCTCTTTTCTCCACGTTCCAGATTCGCAGGGTTCTATCCTTCGAAGCAGTGACGATCCATCGACTATCTTTGAAGAATGCAACTGCCCGCACTGTCTTTGTGTGCACCCGTATCGTGTGTGTTGGCACCGGTTGGGTTGTCTGCGCCGGCGTCGAGCGCCTTCTCATAATAAGAGACGCTTCTTTTGATCCATCGCTGCGGCGAAATCTTGACATATCCCTGAACAGGGAAATGTATGGTCAGTAGCGTTTGAAGTTGATGAAGAGCGTACTTTGTAGTTAAGTCGTCGATCTTATGTGTCGTGAGTGGAGCTGAATTTCTGCCCACAACCCAGTTGATGTAGGCTCTTTATATATCGTTTGCTCCACACCACGTTGCTCCAGCGTGCATCTCATCGTGCTCCTTATCCGAATCAGCATCTGTCTTTAAACGCCTGTCATATTTAATTCCTTCATTCTGTCCAGGCTTCAGCACGGCATTGATTATTCCCCTATATTATTCCGAAGAATTACGCTTGACGGATACCCCGAAATTTTACTTCCTATCAGGTGATACCACTTCGTCCTTCAAGTATATCACTCCTGCCAGACGCAGTCACTATCGTGACTTCATTCCAGGGACATCTTACAATGGACATCTGACATCGCAACATATCAAAAGCTGTCTTTATTCATCACCGGTGCGGGGAACTCATTTCACAATGTTCTTTCTTTCACTGGCTCCGGTGCTACAGTGCTGAAAATCGGGTATCAGTTTTTTTCACCCATCTGACCGGGCTGCTAACTGCTAACTGTCGAAATCTCACCTATCAGTTCTGGAGTAGATTTACAAGAGACATGAGGACGATCCTTGGTGTGCTTCCTTGATGCATATGATTTAATGCTACAGTGATTCTCATGCACGACTGCCAGGATGCTTTGTCGTTGAGCTTTGAACGACAAGGTGCGACAAGGCGATGCCATCCCATCACTCACAACTGCTGGTTCTAGGCTCGTGACCAGCCTGGCGTATACTACCACGGTTGCACAAGTGGTGTAGCTAGGCTGGTCGATCTCGGAGTGGCGTGGCAGGGCGAAGCGAGCAGTCAAAATTGAGAATCACGACGGTCAAGCTCGAGGAGCCTGTTTCCAAAAGTCTTGCGAAAAAATTGTACATTTGTTATCTTATCTTACATACTACGTATTTATTCTTTTGACCTCGATGCGTCTGAAGCATGCGAGCCACTTCTGGCCAGCGTTGCGTTCGACCTTTTTCCCTTCTTCCGTTGAACTATACACTGCATCCAAGATGGGACCTTTTCCCTCATTCCTTAGTTCTTGTTCCTCAACAAATTGAAAGAGTGGATGAGCATCTAGATGAGCGCGCATCCACTGTGCAAGATCCTCGACATCGGTGATGGTGTAGACGATTCCACCTGGTGCGAGGACGTACGCGTATTCTGCAAGAAGGGTGGGTGATATGATGCGTGCCTTGTGTTTGCGTATTTTGAAGTGGGGATCGGGGAAGAGGAAGAAGAGAGCGGTGAGGGAAGCTTTTTGAAAGAAGTTTGGGAGGAATTTCATGGCGTTAGCGCGGATGACTGATACATTTTGATAATTGTCTGAGGTTGCGCGGAGTGCGGTGATACGATCTTGGACATACTGTGTTACTTGAACACGAATTTCAAGACCTGCGGATATAAGAAAGGGGTTTACATATGACTGACTGACTGACCGATGATGAGAGTGTCAGGGAATTGAGGTGCTAGTGTGATTAACAGACCACCAAATCCACATCCAATATCTGCAAACGATGGTCTCTGGTTCACAAAGGCTGGATAATGAATTGACCAATCGATTGAATCAGGTGATGACGGATACACGAGTGAATGGTCAGAGAATGGATTCGCATGCGCTCGTTGTCTGTAATGTTTTTTCTGTTCAAAATTTAGTCTTTTATGTATCAGATCTGACTGGACTGACCTGTGGGAGCACTGAAGTTGCGTTGCTCATCATTGCCGCCGCCGCCGCCGCCGTCGATGTCGTTCTCTTTCGCTTTGGCATTTTCCTCGGTCACCGTTCGGTTCTCGCCCGCGTTGCTCCCGCGTCGACCCATTTTTCCCGTGGGCCGTGGTCCGATGTTTTCCGATATTCTCCCTCTTAAATTTCAATTTCAATTCCACCCCGGCTTTCAATTTCTTCTCTCCACTCTCCATCATGGTCGCTGCTCTCCGTAATGTCTTCAATGTCGTAGGTTAACTTTAACCCTGTAAAAGCTAACACTAATCTTCCTAGTCACGCTCTCCACTACTTGCACGTACCTCAATTCGATTCTCTTCAACAACAGCTTCAAGACACCTTACTCTAAAAGAACGTCTTGCCGAGCTCATCCCTACAGAAATAGAAAAGGTTTGTGTTCTATTATTTCACCCTCGTGACGCTAATTCCTTCCCAGGTAAAAGCAATACGAGCAGAGCATGGTAAAAAGGCTTTCGGTCCCGTAACAGTCGACCAACTCTATGGTGGTATGCGTGGTCTCCCAGCCCTCATCTGGGATGGCTCCGTACTCGACCCAGGTCTGTCATATTGTCTTTCTCATATTTCTCATCTCACGCGCCTGTCTAGAGGATGGTATCCGTTTCCGTGGAAAGTCCATCGACGAGTGCAAGAGCCTTCTACCTGCAGCACCAGGTGGCTCGGAACCCCTTCCAGAAGGTCTCTTCTGGCTTCTCCTCACTGGCGAAATTCCATCCAAGGAACAGGTTGCAGAGCTTAGCCGTGACTGGGCTGCTCGCGCCGAGATACCTGATTTCGTAAAGGAGATTATCGACCGCTGCCCTCCCACCCTCCATCCCATGAGCCAGTTCTCCATGGCAGTCACCGCACTCAACCATGACTCTGCCTTTGCCAAGGCATACCAAGACGGTGTCTCTAAGAAGGAATACTGGGGTTACACATTTGAGGACTCCATGGATCTGTCAGTATTAATCCTCCATTCAGTCGACCAATCCTCATCTCCCCCTTAGCATTGCCAAACTCCCCAACATTGCAGGTCGCATATACCGCAACGTATTTGGTGATGGAAAACTCCCTGCCATCGACAGCAGCAAAGACTACTCCGCTAACCTCGCAACCCTTCTCGGCTTTGGTGATAACGACGCTTTCGTCGAGCTCCTTCGCCTCTACATCACCATCCACACGTACGTCTTTGTTTATACTAATCAACACAAACTAACACCACCCAAGCGACCACGAAGGCGGCAACGTTTCCGCTCACACCGGTAAACTCGTCGGCTCCGCCCTCTCCGACCCCTTCCTCGCATTCGGCGCCTCCCTCAACGGTCTCGCAGGCCCCCTCCACGGCCTTGCCAACCAAGAAGTCCTCCTCTGGCTCCGCAAAATGCAATCTCAAATCGGTGAAAATGCCACAGACGACGCCGTCAAATCCTATGTCTGGTCCACCCTCAAGGGTGGCCAAGTCGTCCCCGGTTACGGTCATGCCGTCCTCCGCAAGACTGATCCCCGCTACACCGCCCAGCGCGAGTTCGCCCTCAAGAACCTTCCCAATGACCCTCTCTTCAAACTCGTTGGTCAGATTTACGATATCGTCCCTAGTATTTTGTTGGAGGCGGGTAAGGCAAAGAACCCGTGGCCGAATGTGGACGCCCATTCCGGTGTGCTGCTGACCCATTATGGGCTCCACCAAATGCAGTTCTATACCGTGTTGTTTGGTGTTTCCCGTGCGTTTGGGGTGGCTGCTCAGTTGATCTGGGATCGTGCCCTTGGTGCTCGTGAGTGTCTTCATCCAATCTGGCCTGATGGGATACTGAATGTATGTTATAGCTTTGGAACGTCCGAAATCGTACTCGAGTGAAGCTATCCAGAAAATGTTCAAGGACAAGCCCTGATAGATTCTTGCTTGTTTCGGCTGTTGTTTTCGCATATCATTATGGCTACATGATTCATAGACTACCTTAAATCCATGAGCTATTGTTCTAGGGAATGCATAGACTTGACTTTACATTGTTCCTCAAGCCCAAGTATAACCGGGCACTTCGCAGGAGACATGGACGGTGTGTAAGACGGAGGTCGTGTCCAAAGCCTACAGCTACCATATTTCCAATCTGGATCTAATTTCGATCTCAGTCCAATATTTGCATCGCTGAGCAAGCTTAGGCAGGGGCCGCAGGGCAGTAATATAGTATATTTCAGCTTCCAATGTCTCATCCCAAATTCTCCAACATCATAGCACAGAAAACGCAGTAAAAAAGCCAAACAACGCTTGTGATATACAACCCTCATCTGATCATGACCGCCTTCTTCGAGCGCTACGTATGGAGAAAGCCTTTCTGCTATTTTTGAACGACCTGTGTATTATAAGAACACCATCACCCACTGCTCCATTTGTGATTCTATGATTCAAGGCAGAGGTGCGCTAGCTGTATCACTTTATCTTTGGACAGGTTTATCTACGGCAGCGGTGTACATACAGGTACGTTTCCCACTGCCAATAAAACACAGCTTGTCATACCAGTTTCCGTCGCGCATCTCTTGCCTACCTAGAGTCAAACCAAAGTCCTCTCGGTGGATCGTGACTCATCATTATGATTCCTCCAGGTGGGTATCATGCCTCTACGATGTTTTCCGCCATTTTTATCACGTATTCAAGTCATCCATGAAGGTCTTAAAGCACAACTCACTGATGCTCCTGAGACTCTCCGTCAAGTCTCAGATCATAGTTGGGCCTTTGTTGGAATTATTGGAGGAGCCGCTCTTGTAGTTTGGGTTTTTTGGCTATCGGTCATCCGCACATGCAAACTCAAAACAAACATCACATCCTCTGAATCTGCCCCCCTCCTAAATCCAGATCAACCACCAACCCATAGTCAGGTGAGCATGCCCACTTACCCGGCACAACGCGATTGAAGAGCACGAACAGAGGGATCACACTGTCACGTCCACGCTCCTATGTCCCGTCTGTGCAAATCTAGATTTTCACAAGATCTTCCTCGATGGTATCCCACCAAAGGAGGAGATCCCGCTTGGTTCGCTCTCGTCCATCTTGGAGAAATCCTACCAATGCAGTTTCTGCCGCCTCATATCCTTTCATGTCCGTCGAACATGGAAGTTGGATGAGGTTTCTCAAGTCGATCTCTCGGGGCTTGGGCTTGGGGTATACTCGAAGAATTGTGGGTGTATTCGGAAGCCCTTTTATCAGCCTGAATTCCGTTGCTACCGCTTGCATGTCATCAAGACGAAGGACGCAGGAGGCCTTTGGAAGAAACATCTAGCTTTAGGAGAAGGAAGTCCGTTAATCATTCACCTCTTGCAAGAAGATGCTTTCAAATTCGGGAGACCAGTCGATCTTCATGGCCGTAGGGTAAAGAACACCGTAGATATTGGTCTGGTGCGGAAGTGGATTAGCCTGTGCCGGGAGAACCATGGAGATAAATGCGGAAACGTTTGGAAAACGCACAGGAAGCTGCCGGGGTTTGTGAGGGTGGTGGACGTAGTTTCGATGGCCGTGGTTCCTGTGCCTTCTGGCTGTTGTTATCTCACCCTCAGTTATGTTTGGGGAAGCATCGGCGCAGAATATTGGACGACGAAGGGTAACATAGCGGAACGCTCCACGCCTGGCGGATTGAACGCGTTGAATCTACCCGAGACCATCACTGATTCGATTCTATTCGTTAGACAACTCGGTGAACGTTACTTATGGATCGATGCTCTATGTATCATTCAAGATGATTTGCTTGACAAGTCCATTCAGCTACGTGCTATGGATTTGGTCTACGGCCTGTCTCACCTCACGATAGTCGCTGCTGGCGCCATGACGGCTCGAGACCCTCTCCCAGGATGCCGCCCACGATCTAGAACACTGCAACAGCAGATCGAGGTCGTTCAAGGACTTCATCTCTACGTCGCTCCTCCAAGACTTGGGGAGGCTCTCGCTCAATCCACGTGGAATACGCGTTGTTGGACCTATCAAGAGAGCGCGCTCTCCTGCCGAAGGATATACTTCACTGGGCCACAAGTCTATTTTGAGTGCAAATGTGACATTTTCTGTGAAGACATCGTCGCCGAAAGCAAGTGTCTCCCACTCTCCCACAGCTTCCTCCAGTCGTCATTTGGAGAACATTTCCCCTACCTTCAGTCAGTTTCGAGTTACATGGAGGCTGTTGATAGGTATACACGACGCAATCTCACCGTGGAATCGGATGTCGTTGATGCTTTTACTGGAGTGACGAACGCTTTAGCGATGGCATTTGAGCTCGGTGACCCAGACAGAACCTTTCAATATGGAATGATGTTGCTAGACATGCATGTCGCACTTCTCTGGCAGCACGATCCACAAACACCTCGCGCCCGTCGTTTGCTCCCTGACGGAGGCAGTTCGCCTTGGCCCTCTTGGGCATGGGCTGCGTGGCGTGGCGGTGTTATCTACAGGGGGGTGGAGGTGTATCTGAGGACTCGGATGGGCAATTTGAGCAGTGCACCATCAGTGGGTGAGACGCTTGTTGATCCTTGGTACATCGTGGACCACAGTGGCAATACAGTGCAGCTTTCTGTTCACCAGGTATCCTGGGTCGTTTTGAGAGCAAATGAAGAAGAACATGCATATTCTGCTCCGCGAGGGATCTTAGACCCAACGGAACTGACGCTAGACATTCATCGACCGCTAGAACCAGGCACTCTCGTTTTCCGCACGACTTGCAGCCACTTTCGCATTTCACGGCGAGGTGGTGAAGAACCAAATGCATATGCTCACGGTCTCTTCGATATTCTCTCTATTGCATCTTTTCCTCCCATTTGGGTTGGCACTGCCGTCCTGCCATTAGAACCTGCTCCACCATCTTCTCTCGACTTTATCGTCCTTTCTCGCACTAGTTCGCGCAGCGTATACGACGAAGAGAACCTTATGGGTTACGATGGATGCTTGTTGCATGTGATGGCGGTAAGTCAGGATGAGGGCTTGATGGAACGTGTCGGGTTGGGCGTCATTCACGAAGCCGCCTGGGTTGCATCAAGGCCGGAGAAGAAGGTAGTGTTTCTCGGGTAATGGCGTCCCTCGGTTGTTTATGTACCAAATTCACGTCCTTCGGATTGTTGGAGAATGCAGATTTAGACAGAAATTTTCGCGTCGGTCTGGATGCATTAGCTACTTCTGAATCATGAATCGTATCTCAGGCTAGACACTGGTGTAGACTTGAAGTACGAAACGTCGAGACAACGATACAGATTTCTTGGAATTTGGTACGCAAGGTCATTCCACATGTATTGATATGTTTGTTCATTTTTATTGCACACTCGGTACAACGAAAGGGACACTGGGGGTCCCTCTAGATTATTACTCTGCAAAGGACAGAAATTGGAATCAAAAAAAATTAGCTATTGAAGAAATCCGACTGCAACATATCGTTGATACAAATTATGGTAGTTTGAGCCGTGGTCCACCGAAGCCAGTAGTCACCATGGTCAGCCAATTGACTTTGGATAAACGCTCATCGACATCGATGATATTTCAACAACTGATAGCTGGTCAATCCCACATACATAGTACTTACAATGGCCCGGCATACCAGTCAAGCGCAGTTTAGCTCCATGAAAAATGTGCTTTTTCCCGGTAGAGTGCAACCTTTTGATGAATGTCTGTCACATCGAACTGACGCGGACGTTGACGATGAACCAGTAAGTAGTCCCTGTGGCATTTGGGCGCAGAGCCGTTATTTTGCCTAGAAGGATATGAATTGATACTCAGTACTCAGTGCTCACCAAGTTGTGTTGCTTCTCTTATAACGAGATTCGACACTCTATTGAAATTACTGATACTGTCGAGAACTATGTTAGTATTTTAGTATTTGTCACTGCGCGCCTTCCTGCTACAGAATGTGCAGTATTTCCAAGATGCGGACGTCCCAGGTGTAGCCTAATCAACGAAATATTCAATGAGTTCGAACAAGCGCACACTCAAGCGAGTCGTCACAAACTGAAATCGGCAGTCATGCAGTCCTTGTCATTGGCAGGCAGTGATTTCGTCGAAAAAATGCGGGCAAATAGACATATTACAACCGCTTCCCTGTAGGGCTGCCCGAGCATCCGCTTGAACTCGGAGTTGTGGGGCCTATCTGATGCTTGTAGTTGTGCTGCACCGTGACCAAGCTCAGGCGGCCAAACAAGTGAATTCGATGAGTGTAGGACTTCCAAATGAAAGGATCATGAACCTGTTAGCCCCATCGACATTGTCGTCTGGGCGGCCACTAATATGGAAGGAGACTGTCTTCGAGTTCTATTTTTGTCCGACTTGGGGAGATTAGGGCGGGACCATGAGAGCGCTGTACCGAAGAGTTTCCTTTTGCGCACCCGCAGTGCGCACAATTCTTAATCGCTAACCACCATTACCCAAGCTAGCACACCTCCTACTTGACACAATTATTATCACTTCATGGCACTAGGCAGAATCGTGCATTATGCTGTAGACGCAGTGCTAGTTTCAACTGTCGTCGCCGGCATCCGGCGGTCGAGTGGATTCGCGTGAGTGTCTCAAGCCTCATGTCCCGCATTCAACATTAATGTGAACGACATCGGTTTCGCCCGGCTCATGCGCTCTTCAGCGTTGACACCAGTCTGATATCAGACCCAACCATGCGCTCAGTTGCTGATCGGTTCCTCGGCGTTGGCGAAACTATATTCGACATGGCCACAGCTACGTCTGTTAATAGTGATTATTTCAAGAAGGACTCGAGGAGATAGTAGACGATGTCTTATGTACGAGCGAAAAGGTGGTCATGAAGGTCTGGCAGTTATACCCCTACTAGATGAACCTCTCATGTCTCAGCAGAATCAAATAGTCGACGGACGCCAGCGTCTCGTTGTTCAGAAGTGAGAGATGATGTCAATACTATTCACAGAGCTTCCAAGCGCATGTACTGAAGCACTTTAGGTGTGCCCATGAATTTTAAGATGTTGGCTTGTCGTAATACCTTCCAAATGTCCGGGAACATGGAGTGGATTTCGTGGTGGACGTTTCTGGTCCTGAGTTGACAGAGGTTGCATGCTGCACTCACAAACAGGTTCAAGTTGTCTCTGAAATCCGTGCTCATAAGTTCGTAAGTATCTTACAGTCACGGTGAGATAGTACTTTTGAAATCATCGAGCTCGTACAAATCGTGCACATACTTACAGCGACTCACTTGTATATGTATGAGATAGTTTGTTTAGGCCACTTAGAAAGCATTAACTCGGAAAAATCACATAATCACGTAAGTCTTGACATAACAGAATAACCTGACCTTGCGGAGTCAACGCATTCATGGACAATTGGGATTTAGTATCATGATACATTCCGGCCCAACCAAGCTTCATTACAACACGTTTCAGTACTCTACATTCTCCTCCTCCACTAACTATGGACCTCACTTACGAATATCTTGATAAATCAAAGTGTTTCCTACGAAAACCTAGCGTACGTATGTGAACTCATCTACTTTGTTGGTAAGGAGCGGCGTGTTGGTATCCGGAATATTGGGGCACGGATTGATGGTTCGTACCATGCATCTGAGAGAACGGAACTGAGGGGCTTGAAGAGGATCCAGGATAGTAGGGTTGCTGTTGTGAGGTGTATGAAGAAGGCGGGACAACCGCGTTCATGCTGTAAGACGGATCGCTCCGAGAATAGCTGGAGGGTTGCCATCGGTGTTGGGGCTGCACCTGGATGTGGGGGGATGGATGGGTCTTAAAATGAGTTAGAAATATGGTTTTTGGAACTGAAGATATTCAAGTCACCTGGAAGGACCCGGGGTATTGACTCACTCCAGTGACTGGAGATGTAGGCTGCGGATAACGAGTCTGCTGGGTTATGGGAACAGGCTCTTGAATGGAGTAAGATGGACGTGATGTCGAAAATCCTCCTTGCTGCGGCTGATAGTGAGCAAAAGTGACGCCAGGAGTACGGGGAGCTTGAGTATAAGACTGAGAAGGCATGCCAGATGACCTTATGTCAGATTGGTGTTCGTAGCTGTATCTCCCACTTGTCGCGCCGGCAGTGTAGTAGCTTCCGTTGGGATAACGGTCATGGGAGTAATTCTGCTGGCCGCTATAGTAGGGCTGCGTTCCGACTGAACCGTACACCGCTTTCAGATCGGTTGGTGTGGGCAATTGGCTACTGCTAAACGAAGAAGCCCTAGAACCCGACAAGCGACATCTTCTGCAGATGAAGTCCTCGGCATCCCAGTTACGTTTCGGGCGACCTGCAGTGACGTCACGTTGGTCATGGCACCCAATATGCTGCCACTTCAAACATCGACCACAACACATGATCGGAACGCCGTCATCCTACAATTATCGCAAAATATGAAGCAGCAAGAATACAAGATGAAAAAGAGACAAACCCGGTTAATCCCTTGTCTACCGCAGACCTCGCAATCCAGCTCCCAGTCTTCGGCTGGTGTCCGCGATCCACTGCTAGCAGCGCCTGATCCATTCATGGGAACAGGAACAGACAATGTCGGGAACTTGCCCATCTGACCATGCGGTATGGCAGATGAGGAAGGTTCTTGACGCACGACATCGATAGGCGCGTTAGCGCTAGCAAGGCGTTTAGAATACACAAGGTATGCGCAAAGTATTCATACCTGGTGTCAGCTTCAAGCTCTCCAGCTTGCTTGGTTTCTCGCTCCTTCCTGCGTTGCTCTCTAGCATTCTCCCTCTTAATCCTGTCCGCTTCCTCTTTCTGTCGACGCGTTTCAGCCCTCCGAGCTCGACTCATCTTCTCATCTTCCTCTGCGCGCTTCTTAGCAGCAAGTAATTCTTGCTCCTTCTCACTTTCCTTGATAGCAATACGAGATGAGCGCTTGCGATGTACGACCGCTTCTTCTTTGCGCTTCTTCTTCTCCACCTCCTAAAATTACATTAGCATCGATGCTTCCCAAGGTTAAATGGAGCGGGATACATACCCTCAGCTCGGCGGTTATTACCGGGACGATGGTTTGCGTCAATACCTTATACAGCGACTTCTCAGCATAGTGGGTGGCTTTCTCAAATTGCTCGGGGAAGTGCTCCCACTCTTCGAGAGTGATACAGATCTGTTCACGATGAAGGGGGGATATGAATTGATTTAACTAATTGCTCATAAATAACTCACCGTCTCCCATTCCATAAAACCTTCGGGAAGAGATGGAATCTCATTGTCTTCTTCATCAACATCAATCTTGCCATTTGGTTTATCGGGAACCGGTACGGATTCCGCTTCAGATTCTTCATCTTTAACGTCTGGTTCTTCATCCTCTTCTGCATCGGCTTCTTCTTGGGCGTCCCCCTCATTTGTATCATCGTCTTCGCTAAGCTCCGTGAGATCGCTGACCGAGTCATCATCGCTCTCAAGCCCCGTTTTCAGCCTCGCCTTAGCTTTAGGTGGCGTCTTCTCCTCTCCCTCTGTTCCATCATGCGCGCTAGGAGAAAGCCATTCGTCTGGCACCTCTTGCCACTCGTCGTCTGCCAAGTTTCCGCGCAGCCGCGCACTCACGCGGATCCCGGAAGGCCGGCGTGGAGTCAGAGGTCTGGCACTAGTAGACTTGCTCCGAGCCATCTGGCGCTGGAATTCAGCGAGGTCCTTTGCCTGAGCATCAAGCTTCTGATTCGCACGTGATTTAGCGGCGCGAGTACCGCGCGAACCGGACGGGCTCGAGTTTTGGGCCTGTGCTTGGTTGTGCCGACGGGATGCTCTGGCAGGTGTTGTGGGTGGAGGTGTGGGTTCTGGTTCTGTGTCGACTCGCTGGCGTTTGTTGAAAGACTTTTTGCCACTGGATTTCGATGCGTTAGGGTTTGTGTGCCGCTTGCGTTTGAGTGTCTGACGTGGAGGTTCACGTTGAATCCACAAACGGTCGGCTAAACCTAGGTTAAGGCTGGGCAACGAGATGAAAAAATAGCACACACCACCTATGAGCCAGTAGGCATTACTCTTGGCGTCATATCCTATTGGCTCTATATGCTATGAAGACTGGTCAGTAAGTTGGAGAATGAAGCAGGCATGGTATTACCCATTCGGCATTCTCGTCGTCATCTTTCATCTGAGTACGTAGACGATTAGGGTTATGGAATTGCCATTCCATAAGAGTGTGTAAGGACTCCAGTTTCTTCACTGTAGGAAGGTCGAGCCAATCAATCTGCTGCTGTAGCTGCTCGGAGTCCTGTAAGGCCTCTGAGGAAGACCCAGCGACTTCATCTTTCGATTCGTCGATCTTAGTTTCCTCTGACTTGACCTCGACCGCATCTGCTGAATCGTCTGGGACAGCATCGCCGTCAGCAGACGCTCCGTCTTCGTGCACCATGCTTTTATTTGCCTGCTCTTGGGCCAACTGTTCTCCGGTTTCAGATGGGTATGGGGGAACTGTGGATGCGCGCGAGGACTCTGCGACATTGGTGTATATTTGCTGAATTGGTCCTATGGGATTTACATCTGGGTCCCGTCTTATATATTGCTTTCGTAAAGCAGTTTGCCAGTTATCAGCGCTGATGAATCGACATTCGTCAGATAAAAGGATTTAGACTACAGCATACGATGGAGGGAAGCTTACGATATTTTTCTGTCCTGCGTTAACGTGACGAGCAATCTTGTCATGATGCGAGACAAAACACGGTTGGTAGAGTATGCGAGGTCATTTTCGATGTCCTGTGATAGTTTGAAAGATAAGATGGTGCTCCAGAGGCAGGCAGAGTCGGTACTCACGATCAAGGTCACGTCATTCATGGCAAAGAGAGTATTAAATGTGAAGAAGAACTGGCTGAAAGCAGCCCATTTCCAGTGTCGCCTGAGTTGAAGGATATTGGGATCTGCATCGGAGGCAGGAAGTTGAAAAGAGACTGAAGGTGCTTGTGGAGTGACAGAGGATGTAAGGCGAGCAGAAGTGCGGCGAGGCATGCGCGCAGCTGAGTTAGGGCTTTATAAAAAGGTCGGAGATCCTTCGGCAGTTCAGGCGATGTTCAAATGCACAACCTGTCCGGCGATTATTGGAAGGACGCCTAGCACCAAGTTTAGGCTGAAATTAGTTGTTGGTGATTTCCGTCGCCGTTACTGACGATGAGCACGACGTTTAGCAGAACAACGCAGCCTGAGGAGTCCAAGTTGGACGAATAATAGTAAACTTGAGTTCTCAACTTGGACGAATCAACGAATCGGAAACCCCCTGGGAATTTTACTTCTGATAATGATATTTGAACACAGATTTATAGGAAAATAATAATAATAACTAAGGTATATGCTGCTTTGCTTTTTTCTTTACCCTCGCCTTTGTAGTCTTGGACAGTCGTCGTATTTGTGGTGTCTGGTATCTGCAAGCTTGTCAGGTCGGACAAAAATCTGCGCATAACCGTTACTCACGTCATGTCATGCATTCCTGCAAGAGCCTTCCTGCACAGCGTGACTTTCATATAGGGCGCAAGCGTGAGCTTAGGGCTATCTTTTCATCAGCCTGAGCGCCATCATCCATACGCAAAATACGCACTGTTTTTTACCTTCTAAAGCTCTTGCTATGGTACTTGCTCGATCTTCCCCTTCTGCAGCGATCTCGCCACGTTGCTCCCATTGTAGTACATTGTACTGATGCAGCCCTGTCAACTGTCCTGCCGACACATCCAAGGTTTTCAAATATTCACGCTTCAGGATCTCCACAACTGAAATCAACCGAGGGATGGTAGATTGTGCAACATCGGCCGGGGAAGTGTGCAGCGTCAATGGTTTGTCAGGATTTTCCTGAACCCATGTTCTGTCAAATGAACAGTCAATGGAAGAGCCACAGAACCAACCTGGAAAAAGTCCAATCCGTGCTTGACCCAGCATCTGATTTTGCCCTGCCTCGTTATTCGTATCGAGTCCGATGGCGGGGCCGCAGGTTGCGGGTCAGTCATGACCATCTCCTCGCCGTTCATGACAACTGGAGGCGTGAGAATCTGCGCTCAATGAATAATCATGAATCTAAATTGTCCTACAAAATACTGCACGTTGTGTAGCAGGGCGTAATACTGCCTTGTCCATCCGATTTGTTATAGTTTTATCTACATCTCAAACCGTTAACGTTCTAACGTTCGCTGGACACTGAGTACTAAATAATCACGAGCGTGTATGACCTGATCCTGTTTTCAGTTGGGATACTTTCGTGGTGTAGCGCTATCTTGCTTTCGCATGTCACACGTCGTTGTCTACTCGAGTTTGGTATCGTCTTCTGAGTGCGAGTCGACTGGTACCTTCTGAACACCCTTCTGCACCTCAACACATCATCAACAAAGCCTCAGTGCAACATCGGCAAGATGGAGGTACCGTAATACAGCGGCTCATCCACTCGTGCAAGCATGTTCCCTTGTCGATCCCGAATGAATGTCTCACAGGTGCGTCTACCAGTGTTTACATACATCCCCTTCCACACCAGTACAAGTGCTAATATGTAAAGGCATATATATGTCGGGCACCGCAAGGTTTCATTTCTCACAGGTTTTCAAGTACCAGGAGGTCGTGGAAGTCCTGCGGGTGATACGACAACTCCCCATCCTTGGCAAGAGTAAAACCACTCAAGCTCAAGTCCTTTTGCACTTTACAGGAATAAGCAATGTCAAGCTGAAAGCACGGCTCATCTAACTCACCCGTGCAGACATGTACGTCAATCGCAGCCGGTAGATTCGTCAAGCCTAGGTGGGTGAGAGGTGACTTTGTGCTTATATCCACTTCAACGCTCGTCGCCCGCAGTCAGACCACGTAGAAGGAAGTCAGTCATTCCTTCTATATTCCTCAATACCAGTGCCAGTGCCAATCTGCGAATGAGGCCCGTAATGGCAGTCACCACAGAGTTTCATTCTTAGATATTCTCGAGTACTTGATTGTTCGTGTCAAAGTAAAAAGACATGCCTCGTCCCATCTCATCAGTCCGTCATAGTCCGGCCATCCCAAGATAAAGACTGTGTTTGCCGATGTCAATTATTACACCTGAGACGTGACAATATTAATATTGCATAGAACCATAAAGAGCGTTGATGAGATGATCGTCTATTTGAAGTGTCTTGAATGCGCGTTTGCATCGAATGCGTTGCTGGGAGATTAACTGAGGACGAGCGGGAAGAGGAAACCAGTGTTGACAACGATCTGGAGGAACACAGTCACCAACGAAGAAAAACTTACACATGAGGTCCAGAGCGTGAACCAGTAACATATAGAAAGATGCATTAGTTGCCGTGTGCCCCGGGTGTGGTGTCCCATCAATAACAAAAGGCCCCTAGAGATCGTTCTGGGCCCTGTAGGTCTCGCGATGTGTGCTATACACGCAGGATAATATATAGAATAGACTCATCTGCAGAATTAACCGTGAGAGTACCAGACGGATATTCATTGGAGCGAGTTTTCTGTGCACAAAATTTATGTATGACGGGCCGTTGGTTTGATGCCAAGAAGCAACGCCACACCAGCCTGTGGCAGTGTGATAAGAGAGGGTGAGAGCCATCAAGGACCCCAGATAAGCTGGCAACAATTGGATTATAAGAAGAATACAACTGGGACACATAAGATTGACGACATAACTATAGAGTACTCTCCTCGTCAACTTCAAATCCTACTGACCATTCATCACCCTGTCTAGCAGGCCAGCGTGATATGTTGATGAGTGTACTTAATGGAGCAAGAACAGCATATATTGCTGTGACAGAATTCAAGACACCGGACCAGACAACACAAACACCGACGATGCCAGGGCACACGAGGATGGTGCCAATAGTCGATGTCGATGCGTTATCACTTGTTCAGACTAAAATGCACGTATTTGGGACGTAAAGAAAGGACCATTGGTAGGAAGGCCATTTGGGGTCGTGGCTCCAGTTGCTGTGTCACCACATGACGGGCGAGTTGCAGGCAGTGCAGCTGGTGCTGATGCTGATGCCGATGCATCAGTATCTGAAACGTCGACGAGCAGAAGATACTTGATCCAGTACAAGCACTGGATGAAGCGAACGAAGTTAGATCCGTGCTGTAGCAACGCGAGATGAGCCAAGGATATATAAAGAGCCTACGAGAAAGGGTTATGGACAAAAACCCAGCTCTACTCACGATACATAAGATTGATGACGGCAGCACAGAGCACACTCGTCAACCTCAAACGCTACTGACCGTCCATCCTCCTGTCTAGCCACATGTCAGGATTGTTCAATGTAGGAAAACAAGCATATCTTACTGTGAAAAGGCGCTCGATGCCGGCACAGATAACCCAGCCGGCGCTGACACAAACTATGCGAGTCCACACCATGGCAGTGACGGCAGTCGCGTTTTTCAAAGACAGTCGACGGATCGTCACATCTTCAGCGGATAAAACCCTACGGATCTGGGACGTGGAGAAAAGAGCATTTGTAGGAGGACCATTCGAGGGACACAGTGACTTCGTGTTGTCAGTCTCTGTGTCGCCAGACGAGAGAAGAATTGCGAGCGGTGGAGGAGATGGAGCCATCATCATCTGGGACGTCGAGAGTAAGAAAATGCTATTCAACAAACCGCGGGTGAAACATACAAGCCGGGTGTCCTCGGTGTGCTTCTCCCCGAATGGAAAGAGAATTGCAAGCGGGTCATGGGATAGTACAGTAATTATATGGGATGCGGAGACTGGCGCTGTCCTCTCAACACTCAAGTGTTCGAGCTCGGTGGATTGTGTCGCCTTCAGCCCAGATGGGCTCAAATTAGCATGCGGAACATGGCGCAACATTCGGGTTTGGAGCACCGATAACGCCGAGCTCCTTCTCGAAATCGACGCTCATGAAGAATTCGTTCTCAGTGTTGTGTGGTCGCCTGACGGCCAGCAACTTATCTCTGCATCAGCGGACAAAACAATCAAGTTTTGGGACTCGTCGAATGGGGCACAAATCGGTCAACCTTGCACTTCCTACATTAGGTCACTTGCCAATTCTTCAGATGGCTCTTTCATTGCCACTGCCTCGGGAGATAAGACTGTGCACCTATGGAGCACAAAGTCATACCAACAGATAGGACAAGCACTCGAACACACCGCATTGGTTTTCTGCGTTGCAATTTCTCCCAGTGGAGAACTACTTGCGAGTGGAGACAAGTATGGAAGTCTTCAACTCTGGTCTATCGAGAACACACTTTGCGCAGCATTAGGGACGGATTCCTCATACTTGGCGCATCGAAGTAAGGTGAAGTTGGACCAAAAGCTCTATGCAGAGGCCCTTTCAGACGCAGAAAAGGTGCGGACGATATCCGTTGTTGTTCTCACATTTGTGATCATGTTCGTAGGTTGTTGAGCTTAACTCTTCATCTTATCTCGGGTACGAATTGAAGCATACAGCACTTCGTGGGTCACAGCGTTATGATGATGCATTCGAGGCCTTCAAAATCATGCTCTCCAAGTTGGATGATGCACCCGACCCACAGATACGACGTAAGGTCCACAGAACTCAAGCGCCGACTTGAAGATGACTTACATTTTCTGCAGAGCTACGCCAACAATTCATCAGTCCATCTGAAGTAGAAGATGCTATTCGACGAGCCATCCACACCCAACTGGAAAATGCTCCACTTCGTCTAATCAACACCTCTACTGGACGTCTGTGCAATCGAGATGCGCAGATCAATGCGTTCGCGGAGAGTACAGAGTACAAAGAGCTTCTACATTCGTCGGTGATGCATGTCCCCCTCCAAAGGGAACCCATCAAAGAAGCAGTCGCGAAGTACTTCAGTTGGGTCATGTTATCTCATAGGTGGGAAAGGAACGAGCCACTGCTGCAAGGTATTCAGGGCAAGGATATATATGGCTTGGATCCGGTCGGGACCGTGGTGAAGTTGCAGAAGTTTTGCGAAGTCGTACGTGATACGGGGCATCATTGGGCGTGGAGCGATACATGCTGCATCGACCAGAACAACAATGCTGAGCTCCAGCAATCAGTCAACTCCATGTTCGTCTGGTATCACCACTCAGCGCTCACCATCATCTACCTATCGGATGTTCCTCCTTCGTCAAAGGCGGGCGTGCTCGCAAGCAGCATCTGGAACACACGAGGATGGACCGTTCAAGAGTTCCTCGCTCCTAAAATTGTTCTCTTCTACCAAGCAGATTGGACCCCATATCTCGACGACCGCTCACCCAACCACAAGCAGTCTGTCGTTATTATGAGGGAGTTGGAGCGTTCAACGGGCATAAACGCGCGGGCGCTCGTCGACTTCCATCCCGGGACAAGAGATGCCCGAGAGAAACTCCGATGGGCGTCAAACCGCGACACCACGAGGGAGGAAGACATCGCCTACTCTTTGTTTGGCATCTTTGATGTCAACCTTCCTGTTATCTACGGAGAGAAAAGACAAAAGGCGCTCGGACGACTCTTGCAGGAGATCATAGCCCATTCGGGCGACATCACGGCCCTTGATTGGGTGGGACAATCGTCCAACTTCAACAGCTGTCTCCCAGCTGAGATTTCCTCATACAAGGCTCTGCCATGCACGTTGCCATCTCTATCTGAACTCGACATGCGGGTATCGGTCTCTAGGTTGCGAAGCAATATTGTGGCTGTGAAGTCGGCTTTGAAACTGTACACCGCTCTTGAGAACCTCAGCGTTCCTCGTTTCGCAAACGCCAGACTTCAATTACCCTGCATCACATTTCCTCTCACCGAAGTCAGGCGGAGTGTTGGTAAAGATGAGGACAAATGTTTCACATATGAAGTCAAGGCAGATGGGCTACAAGACCTGCTGGTCACGACGGAAGACAGGCTTGTTCAATTCTCGCCTGCAAGGCGCACCCGGAAAACATTTCTGCTTATCCTTCCGTGGAATCGGTATGATCTCGAGTTGGTCGACTTTCCAGATGCGTCGCAGAGCATGGACGAATGGATGAATGGGCCTGGAGATGATGAGCTTGTTACCAGAAGGTTGAGGTTACTCGTACGCTTTACTCGTCCTTTTGGCGCACTTTTGCTAGCGCAACAGCGTGGCGGGGAGTATAAGAGAATCGCTTCGGACAATAACATCATCGCGCAAGTCCGGGACATAACTTTTGTTGATAACATGGATGTCAGGATGCTAGAAATATTGTAGCTGCTGGGAATATGAATGTCGGACGCATTTTCATCTATACCTTGCATGCAAAAACACCTGAATCCTATAATATTTAGCCTAACCTGCGTAACCCAACCTGCTCACTATATAGATCTAGAACGCATGTACATGGTTTTCGATTGGGATATTCCTGTGGTGTGCTTATATTGCTTTCGCGTATACTTCTCTCACACAATATTGTTGTCTACTCTAGCAAAGTCATTTACTCGAATCACGACGACAATTGTGTGGCATTATTGTCTTCTGTTTGAGTACTTGCGAGTTACCTTCCAACCATTCTTCAAATCCTTCTGCACCTCAACGCAGTGCAACAAGGGCAAGATAGAGGCACTGCTCATCCTTTGAGCTACTCACGCAACCATGCTCACCCGTCCGCGTCAATCCCGAATGAACATCTAGAATCTTAGTATTCCTCGTTTCGCAAATGCCAGAATGCAATTACCTTGCATCGTATTTCCTCTCACCGAAGTCAGGCGGAGTGCCGGTGGAGACGGGGACAAATGTTTCACATATGAAGTCAAGGCACACGGGCTACAAGACCTGCAGGTCAGAACGGAAGACAGGCTTGTTCAATTCTCGCCTGCAAGGCGTGCTCAGCAGCCATTCCTGCTCGTCCGTCCGTGGAATCGGTATGACCTCGGGCTGATTAACTTTGCAGACAAGACGCAGAGCGTAGTAAGATTGGCCCGAGCCCGAGTCTCCTGGATATAATGAGCCGACTACTCGAGAGTTGAGGCTGATCGTTCGCCTCGGACAGCCGTTTGGCGGACTTTTGTTAGCGCAGCAGTGGGGTGGGGAGTATAAGAGAATCGCTTCGGATAACAAAATCATCGCGCAAGTGAAGGACATGACTTCTGTTGATGACATGATGGACGTCAGGATGTTGGAGATATTGTGACGAATTTTCGTTTTCGTTTACACCTTGACAGCACCTGCATGCAGAAATACCTGTAGAGCTTTGATCCATACAGTTTTAATGGCCTATACTGCGCACCCCAACCATAACTTCACTACGGGTTTTCCATGAAAACCCCAAGTTGTTCTTGAATATGGGCTTGTCTCGAACAAGTCTCGAAACTTGAAACTCCGCTTGAAGCTCTTGTTGACTGCAGCAAGGTCCTAGGATCGTCGGGATTTTGGTGTTGCCGATATAATCATGACGTGACGTCGTTTGCTGTTGCAGGTAAACGGCTCCATGACATGAATGCGAAAGTTATGTTCACCAGTGGCATTATCTATTCGCAGCTGAGTCCGTACTGAAGGTGGCAATCGAGCGCTTCCTGCACTAGTGCCACGAGTTTGGATGAGGACAGCTCGGAGTGTGTGCGTGAATCTACGGAGAACTCCTTTCCGACGGCTGAACTAGCCTACCAAACCCGCTATGTAAGCAGAAAAGCTCATTGATAAGACCTTTTCCATGTAGAATCTCTGCCATTAAGATGATAATCATATTACGGTACAACGCACTTCTTAGTCCCGATTCGAAACGACTCGGCTGTGATGTATTCACTGCAGATATCTTGAGGGCAACATTAATATTACTCAGTAGTGCGCGTGTCCGAACAACGTACGGGCTTCTTGTGAAAAAGAAGACGAGCCTATTGCATGCTTTCGAGATGATCTAATTGAGGCAGGCTCATGATATCCTCTTCTTTCCAAATTTGATCGTCACCGAAAAGTATCATAATGAGGCAACGTACCTCCTAGTCCCCATTTAAACGACTCGGTTGTGATATATCCGCTACAGGCCATCTAAAAAAACTCGAGTCAGTCGATACAAGTTTCAAAACCTGTTCTGAACAAGCCGCATTAGGCGTAGCTCAGGACAGTGTTCGTAAATACTTGTCTTAGTTTAATTGAGGCAGAGTTCAACCGGATGTGCTTAAGTAAGTGAGATAGTCGAATATAATTAATTTTGCAAGGCAAAAAGAGTCGCATTTACGAGGTATACATATATGAGAAAGATATATACAGGTATCGCGATTTATAATATACATGTCACGCATCGGCGTCCGAGTCACGCTCTAAGTCTGCGGGGCTCAAGTCGAAATCTGACAGCTCATTCCCGACGCGCTGTTGCGAAATCCCGCAAATGACCATATGGTCTTTCCACCCGTCCAACTCAGCTTTCTCCTCGTCCGTAAGACTGTCCATGTCCGAGCAGAGCATCTGAAAGGTAGAAGAATTTGAGTCCGATGATACCTTAGATGCAGTAAGTGTCGCGTGTCCCTGTTCCAACAGTATACGTTTTGTGAATGTGCCGGCTGCCCCCATCGCGTAGTGTAACTCCCTGCGTGGCGAGACGAGTAAAGTGTCAAGTCGGAAGCGCATGTTCCATACCAATCTCGTGACTAGGTGTAGGATGAACGGATTTTTGAATTTTGAATGGATCTTTAGCGTCCCATCCTGTTGACGAGTCAGCGTGTGATTTGAAGTGAAAAAAAAACGTACCGCATTGAACGAATATTCGTGCATAAATTTGTTCTCTTGAATGAGATGTCTCACGTGCTCAATACGAAAGGCTTCGGGGGAAATCAAGCTACCCTGCGGAGGAAAGAGTTTGTAGGCGAGTACAACGCCTTCTCGAGTAAGCGTTGTGAGCTCCGTGCGCATAACGAGTACCGCGCGCCAGATCTTTGTGAGATCCTTCTTTTGGTTGTCCCAGCGGGGGGTTCCTATTAGTCGATTAGTTAGAAAACAATGACAAACTTTGAGTTGACATACCATGAAGGCCGGGAATCTTAGGCGTCGCGTTTCGAATCACAGACTTAACGATTCGTTTTTTGTCGGCAGGAGATGAAGCCATCGCGTCTTCTGTAAACACGATACCTACCACAAGTTCCTTCGAGCGATTGAAGATCTGCTCGCGCATCGGTCCTGTAAGCTGGAAATGGCGGTTGCTGTCCGGTGCTTCTGCAAGGCCTGCAGCTGCCTGCGTTGTCGCGGAGACAACGGTCTCATGAGCAACGTACGGCGTTGCAGGTAGCTTTCGGGTACGTCGTCGCGTGTTAGATGAGCGAGCGGGTCCTGCTGTCTATACCACAGACTTTCAGTGAAATATGCGAAAGATAATTAAAGCTACTTACATGTATGACATGCGATTGTGATATTTCACCCGTCGTGATGGGGAGAGGACGACGTTGAGGCTCCGTCGGCTCATCCTCGTCGTCAAACGATTGCGGAAGTTGTATATGGTGCGGATTAGGCGCCTGCATACTGTTGAAGTGGGACAGATTGTTGAGGTGCCTCGAACTATACGAGTCTTATGATTCATTAGCCGCAATGTCATATTGATGATTGAGTGAACTCACCATAGTCTTCATAAGTGTTTGATGGTCCAGCGTAAGTGTCGATGACGTCGTGAGCAGGGGTGAAGGGCGCATAATCAGCCTGCGCGCTTGATGGACTGGCGTACGCGTTTGATGGTCCAGCGTAAGTGTCGATGACGTCGTGAGCAGGGGTGAAGGGCGCATAACCAGCCTGCGCGCTTGATGGACCGGCGTAAGCGTTTGATGGTCCAGCGTGAGTGTCGATGACGTCGTGAGCAGGGGTGAAGGGTGCATAACCAGCCTGCGCGCTTGATGGACCGGCGTAAGCGTTTGATGGTCCAGCGTGAGTGTCGATGACGTCGTGAGCAGGGGTGAAGGGCGCATAACCAGCCTGCGCGCTTGATGGACCGGCGTAAGCGTTTGATGGTCCAGCGTAAGTGTCGATGACGTCGTGAGCAGGGGTGAAGGGCGCATAACCAGCCTGTGCGCTAGATGGACCGGCGTAAGCGTTTGATGAACGTTGAGAGAGAGAAATACGCACTATGAATTGAGCCCTTCATGCGGATTGAAAGCGTTGGGCATCGGCTCATGGGGTTGTTCGTCGCTGAGGTGCATTTGACTGTCCGCTGGGACGTGGGAAGGGTTCAGACCGGACCCGCGAGTGGGTTTTGATATCGTAGTTTTACCTCTGGCTCGTTTCGCAGGCATGCGCTGGCAGGACTGGGGTAATTGAGGGCGCAGTAAGGGTGGAGGGTACAGATAAATATCCGCATAATATTCTACTACAAACCATACTTAAACAAGAGATATGTCATCAAGAAGCAATGATAAGACGCTGAAGAAGGGTGAGATGAAGGGGTACTATGTAAAAGTAAAGCATGCGCGATGACAAACCAATACAATCTGGAGGGGGTCGCCATCATAATGAAACATTGGCACAAGCAGCGTGTATTATTACATGTCCTCTTATCGATTGATCAGTGTCGTACGTAGTGAATACAAAATTCGTGTCACATACCACGATTGGAAGGGCCTGAATAGCCACCGATCTAGTTCGCATCATGGGGCGCCTCGCCCCCCACTGGTGCCCCGAGACACTCTTCTTCATCGGAATCTGAGTCCGAAGAATCATCCAGAACGATCTCATCATCATCGCTGTTGTGGATCTCAAGGCTAGGGAGCCGGGATCGCGAGTCCGTAGGTCCGGATTGCAAAAACGCATCTTTGGTTCGTGAACCCAAGATCTTTGAAATCTGTTCAGCTTGGGCTGAGGTAACATGAAGGACTTCGCATTCATCTTCATAGATGGCTTGAAGATAATCTTTATCGTCCTCAACCTCCTTGCAGCCACGGTCAGAAAAAATGCTCCTAAAACTCTGCAACTCCCTGTCTGCAAATCCAAGTCGTTCTTTGTTCTCATTATGCAGGGCATCAAGGAATGCAGTGAAGCACTCTGACTCCTCAATTTCCCACGCGGTCACCACCAGGCGCTGGCGGGCAGTCTCACGAGCAGCAAGCTTGGCTTTGTACCCTTTGTATAAGGTCGAGGAACGTAGTTGCGCGAGGCCATTTTCTAAAAGTCCAAAGTGCTTTTTCAATATAAAAATCAGTCTTCGTAATTAGGTAGAAGAAATGTATTGTACCTGGAGAAGTGTTTCGAATGATACATATGGATCGCGGTCGCGTCCCATGACACGAGCTGCATAACGAACCTCGATTGGAGCTGAATATACAGAATATGGATGCTGCTTCCTCTTCATTCTGTCTTGTATGAACCGCCGTCGAGCAGCACGTTCAGGGTTCAGAGGCCTAGACGGATCAAAAAATATGCTATCCGTCTCTTTGGCAGGACTCCCAGGTGTCCTTTCTGACCTTGTGCTTAGCGGTGAAGTACATAAGTCAGAATTCATAGTGTTAGGAGAGCTCCCTGACTTGGAGCTAGAATAAAAAAGAGACATTTCAGGAGTGGTAGCACGTCCACTGGACAGAGGAGAAGATGGAGGGCTATTTGATGGACTTGGGGGGCTGGGAGAACTGCTGGGAGGAGGAGGAGGAGGAGATGAGACTCGGGAAGGACTACTGGGCTGAGAGTGAGATGGAGAAGACATCTGTACGCACTTTGAACTTGACAATAGAAGGAACTCACTGATATATAAACGAAACGCCAATACTATAGGCTGATATCAGCACGATACCCTGTGAATGCACAGTCTGCGGAGTCTCAAAGACATAGTTACTGCCAGCAACTCGTCAGCAAAGCTCACAAGGAAGGGCCTAGTCAAGACTTGGCTATTTAGCGGATGTGAGTATCTTTTATCACTATTATTACATTACATAGACTGACGTATACCAGGCTGTGTCCCAACTGCAATGAGGAGTTCCTTTCCATCGAGGCAGTTATTCTGCATCTCGATTCTCAGTCTACCTGCTGGCCACGTGAATCACGCCCGCAACAATTCCCAATTCCACCCGGATTGCGAGGTTCTCGTTCATCTACATCGTCCGCTACTGGCTCTTATCATCCTCGATCCGGGTATGTCTTTGGTGTGGGCAAAAACCTATTCGACAGGTTGCAAGAAGATCAATATGATTACCGGAGGAAAATAAATACCTATTATCCTTTCCACGATGAAGGAGAGTGGGAATTAGCAAGGTTTCTAGTTGAAAACCTGACTCAAACTCAGATCGACAAGTTTTTGAAGTTGAAATGGGTAGGAGACTCGGAGCCCTATTTAACAGGTCTGACTCTACGTTTACAGTTTCACACCCGCCCAAGACCATCTTTCACCTCAAAAGATCAACTTCTTGATTGGATTGATGCGCTCCCCTCTTTTGTACCATGGAAAGTCTCGACCATGGAGTTCACAGGCTACAAGACGACTTATCCCTTGCAACTCATCTGGCGTGATGCTCTCGAAGTCGTCAAACAGCTCTTCAGTGATCCTGTTTTTGCTAACCATATCACTTTTCAACCGCATGTTGTTAATACTGGGGGTCAGCGTGAATATGGGGATTATATGAGCGCTGACATGGCATGGAAAATTCAGGTCAATTCTATCTGTTAGTCTACTGTTCAAATATTGACTTTGTATTCTTAGGACCATCTCCCAGTAGGTGCTACACAAGTACCGATAATCTTGGGATCAGATAAAACACCTGTGACGCGCACCACTGGAGGGCTTGAGATGCACCCACTTTTCATTACGATTGGTAACCTCGATTCGGAAGTTCGCTCCAAGGCTACACTACGAGCTTGGCGCTGTATTGCTTACATGCCCATCGCTAAATTTCATGTGCATCCTGATTATCAGGGCATTCTGCAGGCACGCCTGTGGCATAGATGTGTCGATCTCATCTGCGCCAACCTCAAGGTCGCAGCAAAGGATGGTTGTTTTATGCCCGATCCTTCCCGATACATCCATTATGTCTTTACACCACTTGTCTCTCACGTATGTGACCTTCCAGAGGCTACCATGATCGCTACAGTCAGTAAAAGTGCCTCTCCCATAACTATGGCGACACAAGCAAATTTTGGTGACGGAGTTCTCTACCCTCCTCGCACTGGACAACACACACTGCAACTCGTCTATGAGATCTCCAAGGAGGTCGATCCTTGGGATCTTGATAAATTCCAGAAGGCAGCAAAAGCGGTGCATCTGTCTGGAGTTCACATGCCATATTGGCGTGATTGGACGTTTGCATGCCCATCTGTCTTTCTCACCGGTGAAGTTTTGCATACCTGTATCAAGTTTTTTGCGGACCATCCGCTCAATTGGATCAAGGAGACGGTAGGGAAACCTGAGCTCAATGCTCGCTTCATGGTTCAGCATAAGCGGGTGGGAACTCGTCACTTCACCAAAGGTGTCACCCATGTCAACCAAATGACAGGGCGCGAGCACCGAGATATTCAACGCACCATTGTTGCTTCGATTGCAGGCGCTGCTCCACCCAGGTTCATTCGTTCCATCCGTGCCCTCATAGAGTTCATCTACCTTTCTCAAAATCCGGTTCATTCTCCTGATTCCCTGCAGTCGATGGCGCAAGCACTTTCGGATTTTCACTCATTCAAGGATGCTATCGTTGACGCTGAGGCAAGGAGGGGAAAGAAAGGTGTTAAAGACGATTTTTTTATCCCGAAACTCGAGCTATTGCAAAGCTTCAGAGGCATGGTCAAGAAACTGGGCACGTTGATGCAGTTTTCAGCTGATATGACAGAGCGCTTACTCATTACACACTGCAAACATCTCTTTGAGCGCACAAACCGGCGATCTACTGATTTTACGGAGCAGTGCGTACGGATCCTCAACCGCCAGGAGTCGATGGAATTATTCAACCTGTATGCGTTATTCTATTCTCGTGGCACGTCACTTGTCAATGCCATACGCATCGAAGATGAAGAAGTGACGACCGTTAATCCAGCGCTTTCCTGGATTTCTCGTGTTCTCCCTGATGAAACGCATTCTGTTCATGGACCTCGGCCAGTTTGGAATCATTTTCTTAAGGGCATTCTTTCTGGAGACGCTCTCACTGCCTTCCATCTGACCTCGACGCCGGATTTTAATGCTCTGACGCCCATCGCTATTGAAGCTAAATACTCACTTGTTGATTTCAATCATGCGCTCTCTCAGTTTATCAATCAATTATCCCTCTCCACTGGCGAGCATACCCGCTGGGACCATGGATACGGACACTTTTGCACATGGAATAAATTTCGACTACAGCTTCACTCTGCTTTCCAGCCACGAGTCATCATGCCAAGCAGAGTGATACAAGCATACCCGCCGAGTGATGCATTCCCCCTCGGAAACTGCGATACTGTCCTAATCAATGTCACGGGCGATGACGGCCAAAGCAGTAAGTGTATTCTTGCACTCGTGTTCCAGATCTAATTTGAGATCATCTTCAGCCAGTCGTGTTGCACAAGTTCGACTCATCTTTCAGCCAAAGATTCCACGGGCTTCTGACTTGGTGTTACCAATGTACCTTTCAAGTCCACTCCTCTACGTCCAATTCTTCCACTTCGTCGCTAATCCCAGTGACCGTCCTGAACTTGCGATGTGGACAGTGGAGCGCACGTACATGATAGACCAACGTGGCAGACGTTGTAGGTGTGGTGGTGTCGTGTCGTTGACAGATGTAACACATGCCGTCGAATTGATACCAGAATATGGTAACAAGGTAGACGAGAGGATTTCTTCAGCCACTAGTTTGGAGAGCTATGACCGGTTTTTTCTCAACAGTTTCGCAGATAAGGAAAGCTATCATACATTTAGCACAGAGTTCGCATAGACCCAGTATCAGTAGCTCATACTACTACTAGTAGTGACGACAGAGACGATGATCTTAAATCCATGCACAATCATTATAAAATTTTACAACAGTCGTCATCGCTGATTATAAATGGCCCTAGTCTAGGGTTCGGAATGAGTATTCGCATTCCAAACCCTAGACTAGTGGCTCTAAACAATAAACTCAATATAATACCATTATTTCGAACCATTTAACAATTATGACGCTACCGCATTATTAGATTTACATTTTACTATGGATAACTTTGTTCCACCAATCGCGTTGCTCCATCACTAGCGCCGTAAGCTCACCGTAAGCATCAAACTTCTTTTTGACAAGCGAAAATTATGGGTCTCTTGCTGATGAGATACCTAGAAAGGTCATCGACATTAATACCGCTTCAGTCATCCGAACACAAGCGAAGAAGACGAGCCTATTCGAGCCATCGACCAGACCGAAGACATTTACGGTCGTCGTTTCTGGTCGCCGAATATGGAAAAACTTTATTTTAAACGAATGAATACCATATACGGCCGTCATTCAAAAGGTAAGTCATCTCGTTCATAATCAATTGAAAATTTGCTCCCTTTTCAGGGAACCTCACCAGGCCTCAAGCTATGATCAAGTGATGTTCACTCGTACACCCAATCACTGACTAATTATTATAGTACATGTCCTGGTTAGGATGTCACGACGCAAGCATATGCTATCCGATTCGGCGACCAACTTGCAGCATTCTTAAGGCAGCGTTGTTCTGCAATTGTTCGCATTCATTCCCACTACCGTCGCCTCTCAGACCTAAAGAGATACCAGTACCAGCTCTCAAAAGGTGTGTTATGATCCCGACTGCTACTACCTTTCATTAATCACGTGGCTGCGGACAGGCGTCCTTGTCCATTATCATAGCTCACATGCAGGATTGGCTGCTGCAAGTCAGCAACCCTGAGACTAAATTTGTCCCCGGACAACCTCTGCAGGTGCCATCCAACAACGAAAGCAACCTCCAGTCTGCAACCGGGATGGCGCCATCTCACACTCCCATTCCACTTTCTACACCCCCAACGATACCAGCTCCCCATCCTACAGCAGTCTTTTTATCAGCAGAGGTGGTAGAGCTCATAAAGAGTGAAGCCTACACACGAATGGTTAGGATCATCTTCGACGAAACGTTCTTCCCTGCCAATGAAGCAACTCTCAACACAATGGCCGAAAAAGCACTTGACGAGGCGATCGCTCAAAGTTCAAATGGTACTATCCCTTTGATATATACTTTCACCAACTCACAGATTAAAAAAAGCAGCAGACCTCAAGAAGTGGAAGATGCGCTCGGAGGGTCAACATGAAATAAGCAAGCTCAAGGGGATTCTGACAAGAATTCGAAACGAATTCAAGGACCTCGCGCTCACCTCAGTAATAAATGCCTATTTGCTGGACCTTGCAATCGACAAGCGCGGTTCAGCGCGCGTAGCACTAAGGATTGAACGGATCCGTTCACTACTCGCGAACGATTCGTTCCTTCATGGATTCATGATGGTAAGTGCATCCATTGCACGAGTTTCTACCCCATTTGACGTTTGGCTTCAGCTGATCGGGAGCGATGGCCAGCCCAGGCCATTCGGTATCCCATTTGGAAGTAATGCGATCATCAATATGTTAGAAATCATCCTGTCGGAGAAACAGTACCATCGTTTCGTTTTCTACGATGGCTCCGAAAGGTGGAAAAATCGCCTTATGAACTTAATCTCCTTCATCAGCACCACTTTTAAATGGGCACTGGGACGGTACTCAACGGGCAGATTGCTAGCTGCCGAGTTCGTGACTGCAGAAAACACAGCTTTCTATCAAGCTGTCTTACGTCAGATGTATCAGTTGAGCCCTCTTGGAATGATCTATTTTGATGGGCTGTTGATTGACCTTCGTGATACTTTTCGTACTTAGTCATAGCGAGGTGCTTCGTTGTACCAGTACATATTTCCTTTCCTTTTGCTTTCGTTTGTCTCGCAGATAGAATATCATGTATCTCAGGTTATTGTTGAATATACCAGCAACTGTATTTCTACCACAGCAGCGCATGTCCCTCACATTTAGTAAAACTAGTATGAAATCAAAAATATGCCAAACAGACGCGACGCGATTGGTCACATGCACAAAAAGCAATCGTTCGTTTTGACTGAGTCAACAGTCCCATACAGGTACACCAACGGGCCACATTTGCGACGCCAACAACAACTCGAGTGGCGGGCCCGGGTCCCATGTTCTTCAAGCATCTCTCATTAAATGACAACCGGACGAATGACTTGGAAACTAGGCCTTGGACTCCCTCAGAGTAATCGAAGGAGCGATGAGGAGAGCTATCTTCCAGACTCGTCGCGTATTCATATGCATGAACCTGAATGAATCCTTTTGGGAGTGCGAATTCAGAGCTCACATATTCCACAAGTTATTGTACGGTGGTTTTTGCACGGTCGTCACTCCCTCCTGCAGACCCAAGGTGATTCTGGTTGAGCATTCATTAACGCCGCTATACGTCAAGAATATGATAGGTTCCATCCTGTTCGAAGACTCAGATATGCGTTCAGCTTATGTATTGTGTAGGCTACGGTGCCATCATGGATTTACGGTGACACTTCCCTTAATATCGTTCGCATCGAGTCATCTGATGTCTCTGTTATCTGTTGGAAGAATAACGAGTCGTCCTATGGCCATCTATAATCCACCGCATTACCTGTGGGATAGATTGACCTGTTATTTTTTGTTGTTAACACACCCTATCAGATATTTGCAACACATCCTCTCTTTCGCCAGCTCCGAACAACACCACTCGCAGGCTCTCGCTTTTCCGAGTCACACATCTGTGCACTCCTCTTATTCGGCTCTTACCTCCCTCCACCAACTATGGCTGGCAACATCATGTGTGTTAGATACTAACAGATGCCTTTAGAATCTTCTCTTAGTGATGTCCGCACATCCTATCTACCAGGCGTGGAACCCAAGCTGGATCCGCGAACGTGCTGTTGAGGTGCTATTTGAAGGAGGTGACGTCGACGAAAGTAGCGTTGGAGAAGTAATTCTAGATACTTTGCTCAAGGTATGCATCTAATTGCCTCCTCCCTTTATAATATCGTTCAGTGTTCGCAGGTCCCGCTTGATCTCCGTAAAACTCTGGCATCCTTCCTGCTGTAGCACTGAAGTCTCTGCCTTCTCTGCAAGCCGTCAGTCCTTGATTCTAAAATTGTATAATTACTCATACTTTGTCGATACTGCGAGTGCTTCAGAACAGTTGAGGAATGGCGAAGAGCTGCAGCAAGAATCGATGACTTACTGCATTGGCATTGGCTATCATCATGTTGTGACCTTGTCCTGGGACCATTCCCCGGCTCGTGGCACCACTCAGGCACCTATCGGCAGTCCCATACCAGGATTACTTAGAACACGATCACCGTGCGGCGGGAAGTTATTCATGGGCGCACCTTACATCGGCCCCTGGACGCACTATTAAGCATTAGTTGTGGCCCACCTGGCACATTACCCTGCTGTTGTAACAGACAGCAAGGGAACATAATGGAGCTCCTGACACTGGGACAATGATGACGCTGCACGAGTACTGACTGGGAATGAGAAGAACCGCGAGAATGCTTGAAGATCACGTACTACCTCAGCTACTGCAGCTTCCCATTGCCTTGCGACTAGGTCAAAGAGACGCACCACTAGGATATCGGTCTCGTCACGATAGACTGTGAGTGACGGTACTTTCGTGAACGAGACTCTAAGTTGACGATGGTCTTACCGAGCCTTGAACCTTCAGCCACTCTAGTGGCAGTCTAAAGCTCAACAACGAAGTGTTCTGGTAGCCGTGCATTAGAATGACTTTAGTATCAAGCTATCATTGTCAACGTAACGAACAGTCACAGTATTCAATAGCGACCTGGTGGCCGTGCATCAGAGTCCAGACTGACTGTACCATCCACCTCAAAGTAACGTAAATGAGCCCTGGCCTGGACCGCTGTGTTAGATGGGCGGCATCAAGGGACACAGCATTCAGATCGCGACCTATATAAAAGTTTTATATCAGGGCTGCAGCGTGATGGCGTCGGAACCGGTGAAAGAAAGTGGTACCACCCCTGTCAGGCAGGATCTGTCATAAAATTAAATTCATTGCAGGCACTTATGGCAATGGTAGAGAATATTAATGATCCGATGACATGAGCTTTCGACAGGCAAAATCTTCCAGCATAGCATACTCTGAGTGTGACAAATAGCAACTCTAGTCTGACCTACAGCCGCACGATAACTCATTAAATTTGGTCCTTCTCATCAATAGACAACCTTGTATTCCAGTATGAGTTTCTCGACACTGATGAGCCACACGTTTTCAATAACAACGACGAAGGGGCTTTTTGACACTCGAGACCTTCATTGTTTATATCTTTCCCAATTCTAGCTGCTTCTAAATCGTCGCATCAACACTAGGTATTACATACGATCGCCAGGACAATTAAGCATTTATCACCAGTGCTGGGGCTGGGCGCATGTTGGCTGAGGCTGATTCAGATATCGATGGCGTTGGTGGTTAAAAACGGAAGAAAGTTTCATTTGCAGGGTCTATTGCCCCCCTCACAAATAGATCAAGGGATAACAGAAATTAGCAGCGGCATTGAATGATTGCTCAAGCGCTCACCTGCCTAACAAGGTCATATGCATGACATGATATTCTGCTTGGCATCTTGCAAGCCTACAAAAAAAACCATCCATGAAGGACTCAATATACGAGGGTCTATTGAAGAGGGGCAGTACGACGCGCAGTGACAGTGTGGTAAGTATGGAGGCAGAACGGACAAGCGCCTGCATGAGTTAGGTTATAAATGAGCAGAAATCCAACTCTACTCACGACACATAGTAAGATCGACAACTTAACCAGAGTATGCTCCTCATCAGCTTCAAAGTTCAAACGCTACTGAAAGTCTATCTCCCTGTTTAGCAATATGAAGGAATTACTTGAT